ATTTACAAATTCATATACACACGGACACGTGACGCTTACCCCGAATTACCCACAAGCTTTGTCACTTTAGTTGACCCACTTCAGCAAGGTCAAACAACTATTGTTATAGCGTCAATTGGTCTCTACCCTCCCCCACCCCTTTCATTTTTTCCTCTTTCTCCCCACCCCCTTCATCTTTTCCTCTATCTCCGCACACCCCTCATTATATCTCCTATCTGCTTCCCAGTTCCTGTCTTGCCTCTCATCTTCCTCTCGCCCTCCCTGCCTCCTAATCTCACTCTCTCATTTCCTCTGTCTATCTCGCATCCTTATCTCCAATCCTCTCCTCATGACTGTCTCAACCTCTCCTCTCTCACACTCTCTTCCTCTCAGGTATCCTCTCCCCCTTCCCAGTCTCTGCGTCACCCTCACCCATCCATTACCTGTCTGCACATATTGTCTTTTGATTCAACAGAACCTCACAAAGAATTTTTGGTCTGTAGGTAATTAATCCCCACGAGACCTTTTAATTATAAATTCAGACAACTTAATTTAATAAAATTCAATTGCTGTGTACCCCTTTCTAACAAATTTCACCCTTTCTCCTTTTTCTCCGATTCTCAGCCCACTCTCCACTCTCATTCACTATCTCCACTATATTTCCCTTATCGTCTTTCTATTTTTTTCCCCATCATCTTTCGCTATCTCATCTCCTCTCTTTCTTCCTCACAATTTCCACTCCCCCACCTTCTCTAATCATTTCCATCTTCCCTTCTCTTTCTCACTCTCTCAGCCCACTCTCTACTCTCATTTACCATTTCCATTCTTCCCTCCCTCATCATCTCTCTGTCGTCTTCCATTATCTCTCTTTATCCAGACTGCTGCCTTTCTTTTTTACCCTCTCTTTCAACGCATTATTGATAAGATGCAATTATGGTCTGAAAGATGAGTGCTTGGAAGGGCCGAATGTAACGCGGGTCTGCGTGCCCAATTTGTAACCCTTTGAAAAAAAAAATTTCCGTTCTTTCGCTTATTCCCACACGTCTTCCTTTTTCCCGCATCCACCACCAACCTGTACGCCCATTTGGCCACGTTTAATTCCCAGACCCTCTCAAGATTTTACACATGTAGTTAACTTAATCCCTCCCAGTTATACACGTGAATAACATATTTAATTACAGCCTCTCCCCCCAATCTCATCTTGTATCTGGCTATAACGTCTTTCTTTGTGTGTTTCCAAATATAGGCTTAAACACTAATCTCCCGTGTCTGTCTGCGTGTCAGTTTAAAACAGCGCACACCAGGGGATATCCATACCAGATTTGTCTAATTCGCGCAAGTTATTTCGTTCACGAAAACACGGAAATGTCACATTTGTTCAGCAAACGTACGTACAATTTCACAGAGTTCGTTTTTTTTTTTATTCAGCAAATTCTCTTTTCATTGCCAATTTTTTCCTCTTCAGATGATTTGTGGGTTAAAGTGAAGAGCCCCGTTTAAACCAGTTGGCCAATTGGGCATATGGTGCCAGACCCATGTTTTTTTTAAAAGATCAACCGACTTTCAATGCAGTCAGCACATCGCCAGCTTCTTTTACTTCCCAGGACATTTTAGACTGGGTCCACCTGGAAGCAAAGGACGTTTCCTTCTTCTTCTTCTTCTTCTTCTTCTTCTTCTTCTTCTTCTTCTTCTTCTTCTTCTTCTTCTTCTTCTCTTCTTCTTCTTCTTCTTCTTCTTCTTCTTCTTCTTCTTCTTCTTCTTCTTCTTCTTCTTCTTCTGAGCGTTTACATGCTGAACACTCTGACAGAAAGTTCTAGCTGTTCGTCTACCCCTGAACTTTGGTCTTAATACAGAACCTGAATTTTGCGTGTGTATCCGTTTTACAGATTCGGCTTATTCGTATACGACTTTATTCCATACAGTCTCGTGCGGTAGATTTTCTCAGTAGGATGCCGCCTCTGATAGCTTCGCAAGGTCAGATCAAAAGTTCACATTGTACTTTAATTTGGCCGCTTTTACCCTGCACCTCCACTTCCCTAATGGAAAGGAGCTGACGAAGATTAGAGGAAATCACCGGCAACCCCACCAGTCTCGGAGCTTTAACACGTCAAGGAGGATAAGCTAAAAACAAAATACGAAGTTGAACTGGAGAGAAGAAAGGAACAATTACAGGCCAGAACATGTTCTATGCAATACCACTCAAAATTACCATTTTATCATTAGGTTTGTTCTATGAAAAAAAAAAAAGTATATTTATATGCAAGGAACAGACTGGGGAACTTAGTGACAACTGACAAGATTGATAAAAAGTGGAAAGAAAAAGGCAAAAATGTTAATACCCTGATGGCTAAGCCGCTAGCATGGGCCGGTACGAGAGCACCACCCGAGCAAAGATTCTGCTTTTCGTGTAGGACAGTGAACGATTTTTGGCATGGTACATGGTGATGATGATATTTCAATGGTGAAAAAGGGGAGGGGGGTGCTGGGCGTTTTCAATGAAAAGGGGGCGATGGACAAGTTTAGGAAACATTGGTTTACAGCAATAAACGGCTTTGACAAAATGAACATTACGACTAAATAACCCAAAGATTGCTCAGTCTGCACCTTGTGGTCTGTTTTAGACGCAAATAACTTCATGAAGTGTGTCTCCATTTTGTTAACTCGACTGTTCTGGTATTTAGTTCAACATGTTGGCTCACTTTAAGAGCACACAACCGTGGAGACACAAACATGTCTTTCTGTGAGAATTGTTTTTGTTTTTATTCCCGTTGTTATCATTATTACTTGTTGAATCGCTCCGACGCTCATATACGCCACCTATCTATCTATTCAACATTCCCCACCCCATAACAACCGGCCACAAATCTCTTTCATCCGTGTGATTCACCTTTTTTCTTTGTCCAGCCGCGGGACTTGGAAATGCCATTTGCCCATTGTGGCCGGGAAAACTTTAATTTTGCTGACCTTCACGTCTGTCACATAAATAGCACACATCAGCATGACACACTCGGACCTAGAGGCTTGTCTGAACTCTTTAGATAGGCTGACTGGCAACCAACCAAGGCAGCATGCCTATAGTTTTTAAATTTGCGATAGCAAAAAATGGGGTTTAAATGTGGGGGGGTGGGGGGGTGTTGAGAATTAATGTTGAGAGAGAGAGAGAGAGAGAGAGAGAGAGAAATAGAGAGAGAGAGAGAGAGAGAGAGAGAGAGAGAAAGAGAGAGAGAGAGAGAGAGAGAGAGAGAAGAGTGGTTAATATAAACAAATAGATGTTGCCCGTGCATTGAATATATTGTTTTTTTCCCTCTTTCTTTTCCTGATGTATCATGTACCATTTGTGAATTGTAACATAGTTTTAAAAGTTACATTATCGAAGACACAGACAGCGTTTTGCACCGTTTATTATCTTTTTGTGTGGTAAGCCTTGAAAATAGATTGCAATATATTGTGTGTCCTGATGTTTAAATTATTACGGAAAAATATTGTTTACAAATTATAAATATCCTATGGTTAGGAGTAAGCGGGCTAAATATTTTCGAAGCAGTCGTGAAAAGATTTTAATTAAAAGCTGCATTGGAGGGTTGAATATAATACAAATAAATAGAATGCGTTGTTACTCTTTAAACGCAGTAGTAAGTTATTGTAGATATTTATAAATAAAGGTGCATCTGAAGCTGCCGAGTTCGTGAATTGTGCGACCGTCACAGTCTATCCGTTTTGCAAGGCGGAAGTAAGACTGAGTAATATGGGTAGCATAGGGCAGGGTCGGCTCTGTGGCTAAGTCGATGCGAACACTTCGCTTCGTAATGCCGGGATGCCGGGTTCGATCCCAGCTGCGGGCAATGCGCCTTGCGTTGGTTTCGACAGTGGTATCAAGAAAGCCGACCGTCCAGGAAGCAATGGCAAACTACTGGACGTAATTTGCCTAGAGAAACCACACAACAGCCAGGGGCTGTTAGGGTTGGTTCTGCAACGTCCTGTAAAGGATACGCAACAACCTTTTTATAGGGCAGGACTATTCAACTGGCAGCGCGCGGGTCAAATCTGGCAGGCGGGGGCATAAAAAGTGGCCCGCGGATCATTGCCAGTTGTTTCGCATTAATGATCTTTCTTAGACTTTTTATGCCAGGGTTTAGGCTTGTGAAGATGCTCGTTTTCACAGTTTTTGCCCCAGTGTAAACTTAGTTAAATAACCGTGATCTAGAGCAATACAGTCAGTCTTCTCGACATTTAACAACTTTATTAAAGTCTTTGCTTCAGCAGCTTTTTTGGAGTTCGTTCAACTTTATAGTTAAAATCAGTTTGAGAGAATTCCTCATCACAGATCTTCTATCTCACCTTTGCCTGGAGTAGTTACCAATTTTGCCGTCTACTGCGTCGTTTTTATCTACTTTTTTGCCTGATGTTTATTCCTTGCCCCCACCTGACCCTGCCATCACTTTAGGCTATTCCAACACCCCCCCCCTCCCCTATACCTTTGCAAACATAAAATTGACTGACCAAGCTATATCCCTATGGGCTGCCTCGGCTCATCCAAGTGCAATAGTGCCCATTCTGGTCAACACTGGTCTAGCCACCATGCCACTGCCTCTCCCACTGCTTAAAGAGAATGACAGTTACTGTCCAGACTTCAAATGTGAAAGGAGATAGCCGAGAAATAAGTCACCCCCTCCCCCTTCCACTCCCTCTCCAAGTGATATGAGATAGCCAAGAAATAAGTCACCCCCTCCCCCTTCCACTCCCTCTCCAAGTGACATTAAAATATGCAGGTGCTTAAGAGAAATAACTAAAGCTGGTGTTGGCATTTAGTTGTTGGGGTGTTTGTTTACAGCGTGATGTAGAGACATAGTTCAAAATAGTACAGTTGACCTAGACATGGCAAACAGAATGACTTATGCAAATTCTGCATTCCTGCTGCTTACTATTTGGCAGAAGTACTTGTGACAGACAGTCGTGTAGATTTTCTTTTTTGTTTTATATATATGTCACAGAAATCATTTAAATGAATTTTACTTCCTTAGATGCTGGGAAATATTGCAAGTGACCTTGACACCCTCCTGACTGACCTGTGTGATGTAAGCAAGAGCCATAGCAGCAAGGAAGACCTCCCCTGCACAAGTGTTACAGTGATTTCTGGTGATACTCTTGGCAAAGATTCCTTTTTCTCAACTGGTGAAACCAGCAGAAGGCAAGGGGATGCTGTGTAAGTATCTAATCCAATATGTATAATTACCACATAACATATTGTCTAATTCTAACAATATAGGCTCTTTCAGCACATACCGTTTGATCTTGGGAAGCTGTGTTAGCACTGTCACTACCCAGTTTTCTTCCAGCCCAAAGGCTTTGAGTTCTTTCTTCTTCTTCCCCTTCTTCACATTTACCAGCTGTAAACTCAAGTCGAAAGTCCTGGTTATTCATGTATTTCTGCAGTTTCTGCACGCCATTCATGTCTTTTCTAGTGATTTGACCAAAACATTGTTGACTGTCTAGGGATGAATGTGAAAAGTTATCTTTGAGTCTTAGCTATTAAAAATAAACATTACTTTTTTTGTGTGGGGGCTATTCCTAGTGTTTTGTTTTTAAACATACTACTAACACACCAGCATGACAAATGAACTGTAATGTGCTAGGTCGCTGAGTGAATTACAAAAAAACAGTGAAGTTCATACTGAGGACAACTTTGCAGATATAGATAATCTATTTGAAGCGAACGAAAGAAGACAAAGTAGTAATGTGCTAATTGACACTCATAGATGCAGAAGATTGGAAAACAAAAGAATGGTAGTGTACTGATTGACACTAGTAGATGCCAAAAATAGAAATAGAGATAGGAATATACATGTAAATTATAAAAGGAATATAAAAGAAACATTTACTGTATAATCCTATAAAACCGTTATTCTATGTTATCCAAGATTGTATAGACACCAGAGATTTGATAACCAAGACTGTAATATCAGATCACACTGAACAATTGACCTACTTGTTGTGTAGGGCTTGTAGCAGGTTTTGTGAATCATTGTACTTGGTTGGTAAATCACATGACCCACTTCATAAATCACATATGTCTTGACTGTCAGCTGCTGCTTGTTTGTTAATTATTCCTTTCCTTTTTACCTTCGGTTTTTATAAAAAAGGAAGTGCAAGTTTTAGGACACTCCTGCATTTGTGAATTTTTTTGACTGTGTGGGTGGATTTTAAAAAAAAAATGGTGAGGTCAGAATTGCATTTGATTATGAAAGGAGACTTATGAAAGTTATCTAATGCATTGATTTTGTCAGGAAGATGTGTGTGAATTATTATGTTAATTCATTAGGAATTTTGATTTGTATACTTTCTGTGTGTATTCACCTTTTAATAGCCATAGTTTTGATACATTGGTTAGTAAACATCTTTAATCACCAGAGAAAACAGCCCAAAGAATTCAAAAACAAGTAATCACTTTTGTTTTGTGCTCTCACAGTTTCTAAGTTGGCTGCTGTTAATATAGTTTTAATACAAATATTATTATTAAAATTAGTGTAATTAAAGCATTTACTCTGTATTTTAACAAATGTGCTGTTAAGTTTTAAATAGTAACATTGGAATGTTATACATTTACCAGTGGATTTTTTCAAGTTTAGGAGTGGCGGTAAAAAGATTTTTGAGTTTAGAATGTTTGTTTAGCTTTACTTGATATCAGTACTTGAATGCAAACATTTGCTTGAACCATATTAATAATTTTGTATGTGGGTGTTCAAAACATTTGCTATTTTCTTATTGTTTAAATGAACAATATAATGGATTTCTTTGTCTAAAATTGTTTGTGCTTGAACAGTCTGAGATAAAAGTTATGTGCAGAAATTAATTGGATAGAAAATAGGTAAGATAAATATTACAAACTTAGCTCCAGGATAGTTTGTTAGTGACTGTTTATGAGAGCTCTGGCAGAGTTCATTATGTTATGATGTTTTCAGTTAGAATGAAGTGAATACAGTGTAAGCTCTGACTTATATAAGATTTGTCCTGTTTTCTTCATATTTGACTTAAAGAATAATAAGTATATCTCACTTCACAATGTAAATTTGTTTTTTAATTGCTTTACATGAGTTCCCCCAAACTTTATTTCGCAACAGTTTTCAAATTATTATTTCACAATGTCAGCACCATTTTGTTTAAGACTGTCCTATATTCTTTATTATGTTTGACACAAAGAATAGTAAGAATATTTCACTTTCCTTTGTCTGTAACTGATAGTAGAATATTTATATCGTTGAAAATGTTCAGAAATAAACAGTTATTCTTTTGTTCCCACACATATGTAAAAGGAATGTTCAGATTTTTTGTTTTTCTATGCTTTCTTTTTCTGAAATGAATAATTGATTAGCACATTTCTTGAATCACAATCAACATTCTATGGTAATCATCCCCATCATCAGCAATTTCCACTTCTGCCATTAAGCGTTGTGTGGAGGAACAGTTTGCAATTCACTGCTTAATGGGCAGCAGTGGCTTTTGTCATTCCATGTCCATCTTTTCTTGTGTAACGCCTGCATTGCTAGCTGGTCTGGCTGCATTCTTACTAAATGATCAAATTGAAAAAGCCTACATTATCAAGGATGTGAGTCGTGGACTATCTCCCAGTCCTTAAGAAAGAGATTAGGGGCCTTTGAGCTGAAATGCTATAGAAAGATTCTCAGAATATCTTGGACAAAGAAGAGGAGAAATACTGACATCTTGAAAGGTCTGAACATCAAAAAAAGATTGGCTAATAAACAGCATCCTGTCTCGGATGCTGAAATATTTTGGTCGTAATCAAGCGCCATGACGAACTGGAAAAAATTATAGCAGAAAGCATGGTACCAGAAAGGAGTAGCAGGGCCAGACCGTCACAAAGATAGGCACAGGATATAAGTGACTCTTTGAGTATGAAAGTACATGAGGCGGGAGACCGAGATTCTTTCAGCAGATCGTGATGAGAGCGACATTCTGCAAAGGACCCTCTACATGATGATGATGATATAAAGGATGTGGGTGCGGGGAGGGGGGGGGGAATGGTGGTCTAGTGGCTAGATGCTCACTTGCGGATCAGTAGGTCATGGGTTCGGGCCCTGACAGGGTCTAGACTTTTTCTCCCAATATGACCTTGGCTCCCAGGTGGACCCAGCCTTGTGTGGGTATCAGGTGCAGTCCCTGGAAGTAAAGACGGCTGTCATGATGCTGACCACACCACCCATCAAGTGCCGTTTGATCTATACAAATATAGGTCTAGCCCTATATACCCAATACGCCTGAAAGTCTGGAAAAGGGTCCTTTACTTACATAAAGGATTTGGGTAAAGCTAGAGACATTATTTGGATGTACAAGTAAAATAAAAACATGTTTATCAGAACATGGAAACACATTTTATGTAATCTTTGGATTAATATATTGGAACTAGAAACGTGTTTATCAGCATATGGAAATAAACTCTGGCCAAACCTTTAATATTATATAGAATGATACATCTTTTCCCCAGAAGCAGCAACCACAGTTTGGTGAGTTTAAGTGATGACCACAATGACTCAGGCTCAGTGGACAGTGGTCATGGTGGGCGATGCAGATCTGGACCATCGCCGCTGGTGTTTGATCCGCATCATTTTGGTTCACAGCAAGGCCAGGTTTGTCACATTAATTTATTTTGGTGGTCTATTTGATGGGCAATGTGTGGCCTCTGGGGCTTAGAGATTAGTGAGCGTGTTTAACAATTTTGTGATCCTCAATTAGTGGGGTTTTAGTTTTGGCAGCAGATGGGTTATTAAATGAAAACCACTCCTGTGATGTTCAGAGAGTGGTACGAGAGTTGCAATGTGGAAGAGACTGGGGTCTTGCCATAGCAGTGCAACCGTCACTGTGAAGACATTATATACAGTTATCTTTTGTGATGGGCAGTTACTTATCAGGTGCTATTTGTGACTTTGTGTAAGGCTGTTAACTCTTTGACTCCCAGAGTGTTTAGCATCACAGGCCCAAGGGGTAGTAAAGAGAGACATAAAATCGGTGCATCATGCGTTCATTGGGCGTTCTAGGTAGAAACCTGTGAATGTATGATGCGTTTCCTGGGACTTAAAGAGTTACGTTTATAAATGGAAGACACAGTCAATTGTTTTTGCTGCCTTTACATAATCCTCTTTTAGTTTTTTTTTTCTTCTATCATGAAACCAGCTAAAGAGTGATTCTGTGTATCTGTAATTAAGTCTGCACATTTTGAACATGTCAACATCAATACAGATGTTTTTTGAAGAAAAAAACCCATTTACTGCTGGTTGTGAAACAAAACTTTTTCTTTTCTTTGTGACATTGTAAGTGGTCTTCTTCTTTGTGTTCACTGGCTGTAAAATCCAGCAAAAAGTTCTGGTGTTCGTCCATCTCCGGTTGTTAGTCAGGTTTTAGAACCTGAGTGTTGTGTGCTCATCAGTTTCACAAATTTGGCTAATTTTTATACAGACTTGGTTCCTTGCCTCTCCAGCAGATGTACTCTGACTTTGAAAGATGCCCCAAATCAATCAACACCTACCACATGCTTGTTGAGGAGGCAGTGGGTCTGTTCTTGTTTCCCCCACAATGGGGCCCTGGGGAGTGAGTAAAGTAAAATAAAGAACCATGTTCATATCATAGCTTCAATGGATGCGTCATAGCTTCATCTGGCCTGTGGTGCTGGACCATTATTTTTATAGTCCTAATTGGAACTCAGGGGATGATGTTGTCAACATTGTGTGCACCACTAGACCTCCCCGGACTTTGGCTAGAGCAGTGTGATAGTGAAAAGAAATAATAAATAATTAGGTGCTGGCAGTTTCTTAAAACTGAGAAGATGCCTTCGGTTTATTTATGAAATCTCAGCAATAAAAATTGAAAAGTTTTTTTTAAAATACCTTTTTTAAACAGAAAACATTTGTTATTTTTAGTGTGCCTCCCCTGTAACAGTGAGATTGGAGGATTCTTCTAGTATGGATGAACTTCGACCCATCAGCATAGTGGAAAGGTTAATCAAGACTAACTCTATATGGCTTCTAGCTACCATGAGCAGGGCTGGAGCGGTGCATATTCTAAAGGACAGGGAGACTGGGGTAAGGAGAGATATGCATTTTAATTTATTTTAACAATTATGACTAAAGCTGGGTCAGAAAACAGGGTTGGAGTCTCTGAGGTGGTGTTAGCTGACAGATAGTTTTATATTTGTGCCATTGTATGCAAGCGTACAAGGCAATTGGCAAGTTGATAGGCTTGCAGATAAAGCTGCTGTGGAGGGCAGATGAGCCATGGACCAGGCTGATATACTGAATGTTCTACGTGATGTAGGATGTTTGCGAGAATCAAGTGGTGAATGTGATTCTGCAACCATGACCAGACTGCAAGAACAACATGTTGAAAGGTGTGCGGTCAGACTAGAGCACTATGTAAGAAGGCAAATAAGTATACAAAACCAACACAGAAGTGGTATTATCAACCGTTACCAAACTGTGTGATTTACTAAGGAAATCAGACCACTTATGGACCGAATGGTCCCATGATCAATGAGAATAATCTGTCGATTAACTAACTCTTCCCCACATGTTTTAGGTAGTTCAGTGTCAACCGACTTAAAGTGAATACCCAGAGAAATGAAAATTTTAAGAAGCTATAGATGGTCTTGTAGATTTCTGTGATTAGTTTTAAGATGGAAAAATTGAACTAAAAAAATGAGCCAGACAAACAAACAAAGCGAACTTAATACATGCTTATAAAAGTTTTGTTTTCTGTTGCAAATGGAGCTGATGGATTAAATTAAAGGTAAAGAAGTCCCGTCCCATAAGAGATACCGCCACTGGAGTGTAAAGTATTAGGCCTTTACCATGATATGTGATGGCCAGTTCCTTTTCCTCACTGCTTTTATTCCTAGAGAATTTCTAAAATATTCTACAAATTGTCCAGTACCATTTATTATGAAGAGTAGTCAACTCTAGACTTCAGTACATTTTCATATGGCTGTGAAAAATGGACCTTAAAAGCTGAAATTGAAAGAAATATACAAGCATTAGAAATGCGATGTTTCAGAAATATTCTTGGCATATCATACAGAAACTACAGTGAAAAGTTGAAAAAATGCAATGGTATGGACATGTAATAAGATCTAACAGCCTCTCAAAAACAATACTGCAGGGCTCAGTAGAGGGAAAGAGGAAAAGAGGCAGATCAAGAAACAACTGGTAACAGAACCTGCCTTACTGGCCAGACTTGATTCATACAACAATGAAGTCCATCGCAACTGACCGCCAAAGGTGGAGAGAGCTGATCAGACAGTCAACAGAAACTGGTGACCCAACAACACATAGTGTTATGGGATGATGATGATGAGTCAACCGTAGAGCCACAATGATTATAAAAAAAGTACTGCTGCTTTTGGGTATTGAACTCAGACCACTATCATAACCGGCACATTTTCTTGCTAACCACCAAGCACACATAAATAACTTTCTACTACTGAGAATTTTCTTTCATTATTTTTTTATAGTTTTGTTTAAAGTCAGTACATTAAATTTCACGAGCCTTCATTAATTTCGATTCCACGTGCTTTCAGAAACTAGAGTAAATTAATGTACTTTTCACGTGTGGTCCACAGGTTTTCATTGTCAGAAAGTCAAGCCAGCCCAACTCTCTAGCCCTTAGTGTCCAGTCACATTTGTCTGACCATTCAACTGTTGACCATTATCTGATAGAAGGCACCAACTATGGGTTCAGACTGCAAGGCTCAACACATTTCTTTCACTCAATCCCAGCACTGATAGCATACTATGTAGAAAACACGTAAGTCTGTTAATGATGTTTTTAAATTCTCGTTAATGTGTGTGTATTCCAGGGCCCATTTTGGTCAGGAGGAAAAGAGGAGGTGAATAGACCCAGTGTCCCATTAACAAGCATGTTGTAAAAGGCAACCGAGTTAAGTAAAGGACCCTTTATATGCAGGGGAGCATCAAACATACAGTTATAGAGAAAAGGGCACAATCGACTTCGCAGCCACATGTACACCAAATTTTACATTGGTGAATCAGTCATGTGCACATGTGGATTGGCACCTGAGACAGCAGATCACATACAACATTTCCAGGCAAAACTTCTGGCCAAGATACACTGGCCAAGAGACACTGGCGGAAGTCAGACTTTATGGGCCTCTAAGTGAATTACAAAAATCAGTGAAGTTCATACCAGAGACAGCATTGCTGTGGCAGTACTTTTTTTCTGATCATTTTGGCTCTAGGGTTGACTACTCCTCATTAAAAAAAATGGTAAAGGACAATTTTCAGAATATTTGAAAGAAACGACATGTCATATCCATGTTGTTAAGAACTTAACAGTATTATAAAGTGGAATGTTCACACACACTGGTAAGCTTGCACACTTTCACACTCTTTTTCTTTTCCCTTTACTTAATTGCTTCTGTTTCTTCTATCATTTTCTTCTTCTCCTGTTCTTTCCCATTCATTTTTCTACCTGCTGCTCCTCATTCTCTTATTCATTGAAGTTTCTGGTGTTCTTAGCTGCAGGCAGAATCTATATTTATTTCTCTGTTGAAGGTGACATCACCCCAGTCTGCATTGAGTTTGGCTATGTTATTTACCTAGTTATCTGACAGTATTATTCTTCGTGCTCTCTCTCTCTCTCTCTCTCTCTCTCTCTCTCTCTCTCTCTCTCTCCTCTGTGTGTGTGTGTGTGTCTAAATCATATTTCCAGACACAGTTCTCTTTCTGTTTATCCACACTATTTTGGAAATTTTGTTACACTTCTAAACACCTTCTAATGTGTGCTTGCATTTAAAAGTAATTAAACTGTTTTGTTGCAGTGATGAAATTCCATACTATTTACGGTTGCCGTCTGCTATCCAGCAAGCTAGATCTACAAGGGAATTAGCCTCTTTGGATATGCTGGGTCAAGGTGACCACATTTTGTTCTTGTGAAATAAAATTTATACATTTATTTTTTTACAACACGGTTCTAATCAAAATCTGAAGTTCTTGCAAGATTAGGTTTATATGTACAATTTTCATACCACACTTCTGTGTACTTCTTGATGTGTTTACTTTTATCATACTCATGATGCTGTATATAGTTTTACAATACAAAATTGCCTTATTTTTAAGTGTCTTCTAAGTATTTTTATAGTGTTGAAGAAGAATAACTTTTATCTTGAGTGATTCATTAGATTTTACGGCTGAATTTTAAACAGTTTGTGGCATGGCATGCTTCCTTATGACAATTTGCTTTGCAATTTTTTTCAACTTTTATGTCTTGCGGTATTATGGATAAGTTCTAAAGTTGTATTGTTTCAATTCCATTTATTAATACAGGATGGTTGTAGAATATATTATATTTATTTCAATTTTTTAAATTTTAAACCTTGCTCATTATTTGTTTTTAAGTTGAAAGATAGCTTTTATGAAGTATCTAATATTTAATTAGTTACTGATTTCCATTTAAGTGCATTAAATGCCATCCAACATGTTAATGTACACATTAAATGCCATCCAACATGTTAATATACACATTAAATGCCATCCAACATGTTAATATACACATTAAATGCCATCCAACATGTTAATATACACATTAAATACCATCCAACATGTTAATATACACATTAAATGCCATCCAACATGTTAATATACACATTAAATGCCATCCAACATGTTAATATACACATTAAATGCCATCCAAACATGTTAATATACACATTAAATGCCATCCAACATGTTAATATACACATTAAATGCCATCCCAACATGTTAATATACACATTAAATGCCATCCAACATGTTAATATACACATTAAATGCCATCCAACATGTTAATATACACATTAAATGCCATCCAACATGTTAATATACACATAAAATGCCATCCAACATGTTAATATACACATTAAATGCCATCCAACATGTTAATATACACATTAAATGCCATCCAACATGTTAATATACACATTAAATGCCATCCAACATGTTAATATACACATTAAATGCCATCCAACATGTTAATATACACATTAAATGCCATCCAACATGTTAATATACACATATATATTGTACCCCAACATGTTAATATACACATATATATTGTACCCCAACATGTTAATGTACACATATATATTGTACCCCAACATGTTAATATACACATATATATTGTACCCCAACATGTTAATATACACATATATATTGTACCCCAACATGTTAATATACACATTAAATGCCATCCAACATGTTAATATACACATTAAATGCCATCCAACATGTTAATATACACATTAAATGCCATCCAACATGTTAATATACACATTAAATGCCATCCAACATGTTAATATACACATTAAATGCCATCCAACATGTTAATATACACATTAAATGCCATTCAACATGTTAATATACACATATATATTGTACCCCAACATGTTAATATACACATATATATTGTACCCCAACATGTTAATGTACACACATATATATTGTAACCCCAACATGTTAATATACACATATATATTGTACCCCAACATGTTAATATACACATATATATTGTACCCCAACATGTTAATATACACATTAAATGCTATCCAACATGTTAATATACACATTAAATGCCATCCAACATGTTAATATACACATTAAATGCCATCCAACATGTTAATATACACATTAAATGCCATCCAACATGTTAATATACACATTAAATGCCATCCAACATGTTAATATACACATTAAATGCCATCCAACATGTTAATATACACATTAAATGCCATCCAACATGTTAATATACACATTAAATGCCATCCAACATGTTAATATACACATTAAATGCCATCCAACATGTTAATATACACATTAAATGCCATCCATGTTAATATACACATTAAATGCCCTCCAACATGTTAATATACACATTAAATGCCCTCCAACATGTTAATATACACATTAAATGCCCTCCAACATGTTAATATACACATTAAATGCCCTCCAACATGTTAATATACACATTAAATGCCATCCAACATGTTAATATACACATTAAATGCCATCCAACATGTTAATATACACATTAAATGCCATCCAACATGTTAATGTACACATATATATTGTACGGAATGTTTACCATCTGCATTTCTATTTCACAGGCATTTAATATCTGGTAAAGGAACACTATTTTTCCCCCTCCTGTTGGGTTATTTTACATTTTTCTATATAGTTCAGGAAGTAACATTAGCATAAATACTTAACATTACATGTTGGAAATGATAACACTGCAGTTTTGTGTTTACAATTTCTTTCTCTCTGATTAATATGTTAATTGTTCTAACCTGTTGACTCTTAAGTTAAAATCAAAACTAACCGGTACTTCTTTATTGTTTGCTGTGTATGTGTTGGTATTTTCTTACATTATCTGAATAGTTTATTCTTATGTTCACCATAGGCACAGATTTTTTGGAGTGAAGAAACTGATCATTGTGAATTAAAAGAAACCAAAAAATAGAGAAAAACAGATTAAGCTTTATTTTTTCTCAGGCTGGAGGAATAATATAATAACATACAGAGATTAGTGAATGAAACATTTGACTGAGTTTGTTGCTACAGAAATGTATATTTGTTGGTTTCATTGAACACACCTCTGCACTGCATGGAATTGCTGACATTCTGACATTCAAGAAGGTATGCGTGACGTCATGTTTGTGGAAAAATATTCTCCCACACTATCTGTGCCTTTCGACCTGGCGTCTCCGTCTTCAACGTGCTTTTCTTTCAGGATGTGCTTCCTTAGCCCGTAACCAACCAAGGCCTGACCAGCGGGCAGTGGTAGTTTAGTTTCAGAGTATCCTTCTCATAGGTGGGCCGCTGTCCCCAGCTATCGAGTCCCACCTAACCGGGGAAAATACCTAAGTAAATTTTGAGCGGCATCCCGTGTCGGCGTGGCAGCGCTTCACCAGTCCAGTTGTACGCCACCGTGTGTACGCCCACAGGACAATTACTGTCTAAAATGCCATAAATCCATGGGGCCAGGTGAAACACAATCGGGCCTGTTTGTGCCCCGTTGGCAACAGAGGCTTCCGTTGCAGAAAACCGATTATAATACACTATATTCCATTTTTAACGAATATTGATCTACAAAGTCACACAAAAACTATTTCATAGTAAGCCCAACGGAACAACGGTCACAGTGATATAAAAATATCCTCAGATATCCAATGCAACAGGGCTAAAAAAAATCTAAAAGGATGAGAGCGAAAAACACACGCCCTGTCCCTTGGACGTGATCTACTAGACTCCCATGGAATTGCTGATTACTGATTTAAGAATTGACATCAAAGCTTGCTGGTCATACCCACAGATTTGTCTTCCTCAGCAAATATCATGTGGCCTAGATCAGGTCTATTCAACTGGTTGTCCGCAGCCAAATCAGGCCCAATAGAGGCTTATCAACTTGCCCATGAACCATTGCCATCAGTATTGTATTAATGATCATTCGATGCTGGGCTTGCACCTCTGGCTTGGAATGATTCCCAGTTTCAACAGTCTGGCCGCTGAGTAAACTTAATTGAATAGCCCTGGTCTAGATTCTGTGTTTCAGATTTAGAGAAATGTTTGGAAATTTAGTCTTGACAACACAGGCAATTAACATCTATGGCTGATAACATTTTGGAGTTGAACTTTAAGTCAAGAGGCTCAACTTCATTGCACCAGGTTTTATCCTGTATAGCTCAGTCTCTCTCCACAGAATGGCTAGCCAACATCCGAGAGGGTCACTCAAAGCACAAATTATGTAGCTCATCCAACAATCCCCGGGGGTCTCTAAAATATTGCACTCATGAACCGAATGATATTTCCGTAAAACAACCCCCTCCCCCCACCATAACTATCCTTAACTCTAAATTCACACTAGCTTACACATGTTGTCTCATCTAGTATGGACAATTTTTAGATATGTTTGATGATGATAAATTTGTTTTTCCTCTTTATTTTAGATTTCTGGGTATCATCCCTGTCCAGAAAGTCTCCATCTCTGCAAATGTCTGGAGTCTTGCACAAATCTTGCAGTGAGCCAATAAATATTCAACGGCCAGTTCATACTACTACTGTAAGCGGGGAAAGTAACACACATAACACAACTGCTTCCAAGTCATCCTCAGACTTTTCACACTTCATGAAGAGCCAAGTGGAGATGAAACAATATTTCCAACAGCACTTACCTGACTCTTCAAATGAAATTCATAATATGAATGCTCATGCTGCTCTTAACCTCCAGTGCAATCTAGTCTCATCTAAATCTCAAGCCAGTCAAACACCCCCACCTGGTGGAACTAATATGGGAACAAACACGGTTCAGGCTTTTTCTCACAGTTGTAGTTATAGCAGTAAAGAACTCACAGACTCTGGTGTGGTCAGTGGCCAGATGACTACTACATCAAATCAAGAGAGCGTGCATTTCACTGTGAATTCCCAGCAGTTTACCCGTTTAGTCAGTGAAGATTCATGGGTATTAGCTTCTAGTCCTTTAACTTCAGAGCCACAAAATAATATTAATCATATGTTAATACATGGTGCTCAAAATGTTGATGTATACAAATCAAACCCAAGCAACCAGCCTATGAAAAAGGAGGATGGTACTGCCTTTGTTCAACAGTATTCAAGAAATGGTGATTCTATTGACTTTCAAAGCTTTCAAGGTAAACAATCAAATTCTTCACGAGAATGCATCACAAAGGAGCGATCTTGGACACACCCTGGGTCGGTGCCACAGTTTAAATCAAATCTTTATTTTACCACAAATCTGGACCTCTTGAATATTCCGGAGAACAGTTACTTCATGTCAAGCTTGTCCGACAAACTCAGTGACTATGAGGATATATGGAGAAGCTCCAACTGTGAAGGAGATGCTGACAGAATGACCACTAAGATGATACAGGATCCACGCACCATTTTGGATGTCAGAGTCAGCAGTAAACATCATAAAAAGAATGGCTCAGAGGGTAAGAGGAAAATTTTGAGGAAGACCAGTAAGGTGTCTCCTCCAGCACGATTCCCAGTTCCAGTTCACAGGGATGCAGTGACAGGTGGCACCACTGGCCTGACAGCCCTAGAGCAAGCACGCATGATTGCTGGATCTACAAGTGAAGATGAGGCTTCTATTCCCATTGCTCATGTCAGAGGCATCAGAAGAATGGAAAATTTGTTTGAGGATGACCTTTTGCCTAATGATACATCCTCGACCAGCAGCACAAATACAGTAAAACTAGAGACTGTCACCAGTGAAAAAAACATTGACTGCTTACAAATTCCCGGGAATTCTCATCAGATAAAATTTGTTACATCTCATTCTTTAGATTTGACTCCAAAAAATGAAGAGGTTACTTCACTGGCAGATGTCAGTTCACATATTTCTTCATCAAAGTACGTTTTTTCTGAGTCTTCAAAGGAACCCGTTTCTAAATGTGTTTTTACTACAACTATGTCTGTTGTGGTGTCTGAATCTGCATCAAGTGAGAACTCATCAAATGCCAAGAATAAGAAATATACTATGAAACCCCTGGGTCATCTGTCTAAAGTGAAATCATCTTCAGAATCATCTCTGGCAACTGTGTCTAGTCCCCTGTATGCTGAGCCAGCAGATGCACTCAGGCTCAGAGACAAAGATGGAAAGGCCATCAACATCCAGGTGAGAAGACTCTCTGCCCCTTTGGTTGTGAACCTAAAAATCAAAGACAAACAACCTAGCAGAGACCAGCAAACAAAAGTATCTCAAAACCCACAGCTGGACACCATTTTATCACCCGATGCCCTGAGTTCCAGCAACAATAATGCACACTCTAAATTTGTGTTTGCCTCTTCAAATAGTAAACAACAGTCCAGTATTTCCCGCAGTCAGAGCATGAGAACAGCCAGTGAAATTTCCAATCTTCAAGCCAAACAGGGCTGGAAAGACAGGTTAAATCGACTGAAGCTTGGTACAAAAGTTTTAACTCATAATCTAACTTCACCAGCTTCTGCCAGTTCTAGAAAGAATACCAGTTTAGACCAACCCAACCTGGACTCTGCTCTTTTCCTGAATTCATCTTTAGCACAGAACTCCTCTGCTCTCAGTAGATCTTTTCCAGGCAAATTTCCAGTAAATCGCAAACGGGAGTTTAACAGGGCTTCTGGCTTCTCGGAGTGCTCCACAGTGCAAGATTTAATATCTTGTGCCCACCCAGAACTGTCAGTCAGACCAATTGCTGCCAGATTTTTGAAACCCAATGAGAAGGTTGAAGACACGCCACCATCTGAGTATGACAATCTTCTTGTCTATCGGGTAAGTTTTGTTTGCTCCATACTTAAACATTAAACCAGTCATTGGCCATCTTCACTATTAAGGTTGACTGCAGAGGATTTCCAAGACTCTGTCACTTGTACTGGATTAAACACTCATCCATCTCTTGATATTATCCTACCACTTATTATTGCCTTTACATTACCAACATCTATTTGTGAGTATAATTATTATTGTTATTATTCTCCTTCTTCTCCTCCTCCTCCCTTTTCTTCTTCTTTCTTTTCTTCTTCTCCTCCTTCGTCTACGCCTTTGTCTATGTCTACGTCTACATCGGATTTATCTTCTTCTTCTTATTCTTCTTCTTCTTTGCATTCACTGGCTTTAAATTCCAGCCGAAAGTTCTGGTTGTTCATCCAGTTTGAGACGTTTTTTCAAAGTCAACCCAGCCTTAAAGGGTACCAGAAAATGTCTTTAGATGTAAACGCAGCCAGCCTGGTGTTGGTCACATCATTGATCATGATCTGTAAAAAATATATCCCTGTGACAACAGTATACCTAATATATACAATATGGCATGGAAAAGGGTCCTTGATTTGTTTGTTTTGGATTTGGGAGAACTATCTTCACAGCACACTGGACAGATCAGTAGGTGCTCTGATTTACTCGGTGTTTTCACAAGCATCAAACGATTGACCATTCTGTGTTGTGTCCTTAACAAAATAGTTATGTCTGCCTGCTGCAGGTTGCACTGCTTTTTCTTCTTCATGTTTACCGGCTGCTAACTCTAGTGAAAAAGTTCTGGTTGTTCATCCACATCTAGACTTGAGCCTCTTTCAAGAACCTGATCATTGTGTGCACATCTGTTTTACAGATTTGCTGATTAGTGTGCAGTCTGCTGGTTCCTTGCTTTTCATATAGATGCAATCTGACTTTAAAAAAAGTTCTGAAGGAAGTCGATTCTTAGGACATTCTTTTTTTGGGGAGGCAGTGGATATATTATTATTTTCCCCACAGCGAGGTCCCGAACCCTCATGGGGAGATTGCACCCCAATACCCACATATACATCTCACATATTTACTCAGACTATGACAATTGTTACTTCATCTTTTGTCTCATAATAGTATTATTTAAATGAAATTTTTTTTTTCAGAAGGTTAAGAATTGGGTGTTTGCGCTTCTTGTCAAACATTGTGCTCTTTAAACCAGTTTAGATAAGGACGTATAATTGTAATCAAATTAAAAACAAAGGGGAGGAATATAATATGAGAATAAACACTACGAAGACAGAGACAGAAGTGATAGAAAGACAATTTAGAAATTAAATTAAAAAACAACGCCTTAAGACAAACAAAGAAATTTAAGTATTAAAAGCAATTTTCACATCTGATGGAAAACTGGACAGAGAAATAAGCTCGAGATGTGCCAAAGCTAATCAAGTAATGGTGCAACTATCTCCCTTGTTGACACACAAGCAGATACCCCGGAGTACTAAAGTGAATCTTATCAGAATTTTTGTTTGGGCCAACACTATGCTTTCAGTGCCAAACGTGGACACTTACATCCTCTATTGAACATAAAATTGTGACAACAGAGATGAAAAGCCTTAAAAGAGCTGCAGGAGTTTCAAGGAAAGACAGAATAGGAAATCACAAAATCAGATCAATGCTAGGAATAAAGCCAGTCTTATAGGTAATTAAAGAACAACAATTGAAGTGTAGACACCTAACAGGAATGCCCTGGTACTATTTACCACAGCGAGCCACACTGAAACGTTACAACGGGTATAGAGCGAGTGGAAGACCTAGGAAAAGATGGAGTGATGGCATTAGGAATAGCCTTACAGAAGTGAACATCAGTCTTAATAGTGTTCTTGACAGAGCTCATCGTTACATCTCCCCCGACACTTCACTGAGGTACAAGGTGGAAGAGAAGAAGAAGATCCTTAAGATGCAGATAGTTAAAGAAATGCTTGCCTTGAACTGAAAGAGTTAAGCAGACCTAATTCTTCTCGTGCTATTAACAGTGTGGATTGGATTTTTTGGGGGAAAAGAATAAACTCACTGCTCATCCCTCTTCCCCCAACAACAGACATAAAGGCTATTAATTAGGGATATTTCCTTCAAAGTTGGAATTCATCTGCCTAAGAGAGAAGGAACCAACAGTCTGCAAACAAACAGGCCAGTTCCATAAAACGGAATTGCACACATAGGTCAAGTTCTGGACACCACAAGGACAGCGAGGAACAGGCAGGCCCAGAGGCACTTTTGAGGCTGAACTCAGGGCTACGCGAAGGACAAAACTGGAGATAGAAAGAATGGCTCAGGATCAAATAGAGTGGCGACAGTTTGTCTCTGCCTTATGAATGTGATTAGGATTGATTGTTTGTCAAGTTCTGGAACAGAATCAAAGTCCAGAAAAGGCCAGAACCTTCTACCAGAGTTTGTTGGTGAACCAGAAGAAGATGAAGAAGAAGAAGTCAACAGTGCTGATCCCAGATACATATTCAACCTCCTAAGACATTTTAATTAGGACATCTATAATGGTTAATTAGAATTTTGAGAGCATTCATCTTCCCATGTGGCTACTTACGGATGTGAGTCGTGGACTATCTCTCATTCCCTAAGAAAGAGAATAGTGGCTTTTTAGCTGAAATGCCAAAGAAAGATTCTCAGAATATCTTGGACAAAGAAGAGAAATACTGACATCTTGAAAGATCTGTACATCAAGGAAGATTGGCTAATAAACGGCATCCTGTCTCTGAAGCTGAAATATTTTGGTCATATCAAGCGCCACGTTGGATTGGAAAAAATTATAGCAGAAGGCATGGTACCAGGAAGGAGGGGCAGGGGCCAACCGACACGAAGATAGGCACATGATATAAGTGACTCCTTGAGTATGAAAGTACATGAGGCGGGAGAACTGGCGAGAGACCGAGTTTCTTTCAGGCAGACTGTGATGAGAGCATCGTTCTGCAAAGGACCTGCTACACGAGGTTCTGTCCTGGGTACCCTTCAGTCCTGGGCAGATGAGATATATGGTCAACCTCTTTCTTCTTCTTCTTATATACTGGTCTTTAAGATGTTGTTCGGCATGCTGTAAAATGTTGTTTAGCATGCTGTGTGGTGATTTATGGCTTGGCTGTGATAGGTATATGCCTTTTGGTCCAACACGTCCACTTTAATTAAATCCTTAATTGGTCGCCTATTAAACATACTTGTTAAGGGGCACTGGGTATAAACTTTTCCCTCCCAAATGGTGCCCAGGAACCCACAACCGCTTTCAAAATTTTATTTTTAAAGAAGTTACCCAAATAAATGTATACTATCAAAGAATAATATTGCCCACCAAGAAAACAATATGTTCACCATGTTAATGACACAATATTAATAAGATTGTCAAATTATTTATAATTCAGTTTTATATTGTCTCATTATTCATAATTTAACTTTCATCATAGTCCCAACCCAGATCAAAGCAAAAAGTGAAACAGTACAAATTACAATTTGGTCATGTAAATAGTTACAAGATGTATGCATTTAAAATAACAAATTTATACTCGAGAACTGAAATGAGTTCAGTTGAGTTAAGAATTGACATCACAGCTCTCAGGACGTTCCCAAATGCACTCCGTCCCCATCCTCAGCAGCTGAGAATTGAGTTCTGAGAACTTAATTTACACCATCCCAGTTATAACCACGAGGGTTGAACAGGATATTTATGAAAAATTACTACTACTACTACTGCTGCTAAAGAATTTTTTTCTTTCTCTGCAGGAATCCACAAATAGTAGTCTGGGTACAGTCTATTCACCTCCATGGGAAATAAGCACAGCAAATAAACTGATAAGGGAGTCACCAGCACCCCTGTTGGCCGACAGCTTGCCTCCAGCTATGGACATCACAGAGAGGATACAGCGATGGCAGCTAGCAAGTAGCAGTTATCATCACATAGATGTCATCAGTAGCTCACCTGTGACAGGAGATACTAACAGTCCAAGTCAGACCCATCTACAGGAGCAGCCTAATCATCATCATCATCATCATCAGCATGTTCTACAAAGGCAAAAGCTGCAACAACAGCTTCAGCAACAAAAAGGGCTACAACTGCAGCAGCATCAGCAGCAAAAACAGCATCAAAAGCAGTTGCAGCTACAGCAAAATCACTTGCAGCAACAACAACAGCAGCAATTGCAACAGCAACTTCTTGGACACCAGCAGCAAATTAAATCTGAAGATAAGACCAAAGCTCAGGACTTTCAGCGTCAGATAAGTGTTGACAGCCCACGAACACAGCATTGTAACAGTCATCACCTGCGGCACCCGGAGAAAGATACAAGAAGACTGAATCCTGCGGGTGAGCTTGCATAAGACATTGTTTGAATGTTGCTGTTTTCTTTCATTGTTTAATCACTATCTGCTTATTCATCGTTGAGTTCTGATGTACTTTTAAAGATAATGGTAAGAGTGAGAGAAGATAGGAGGGAGATGGATAGAAAGAAAGTGGGGGCAGAGAGGTGATTATGAGAATGCAAGGAAGAGAGAGGTAATTAAAATAAATAGTTTTAATCTAAACTGCAATAGATATATTATTACAAGAGTGTCATCCATTGACCCCAGATTATATATATATATATATATATATATATATATATATATATATATATATATATATATATATATATATATATATATATATATATATATATATATATATATATATATATATATATATATATATATATATATATAGGGTGTTTATTAAGTCTCATTGCACTTTCTATGTAGAACAATTTGAAAAACAAAGTACATGACTTCATCAAAAAGTGTGCTCTTCAATCAGTCGAGATGAGATGCAATGTGAAGTGAACGGCTGCAGTTTGCAGGAATGATTCTTTGCACTTAAAATAGAAAAGTGTTATCAGTGGAAGACAGATTTGTTTAGGTTGAACAAGTGTTTAAAAACTAACTGCCGCAATTGCATCATGTGGAATTTGGCTTGCTCATTCTCCAGTTCTAACTCAGATTATTATCTATAGGGTTTCTCGAAAGGAAATGTTTACAATAATAATGTACACACAAATGTGTGGACACACCCAAAAGAGGCAATGAGAATTACTATTCAAAAAATAACAACAGACACACTGTTTAGTGTATCTGATAATATAAAGAGACATGTACAGTCATACCTTGAAGCCCTTAACTCTTTGAGTCCCATGGGGTTTTGCATCACAGGCCCAAGGGGTAGTCAAGAGAGACGTAAAATCGGCGCATCATGCGTTTCATTGGGCCTCTAGGTAGGAATCTATGAACGTATGATGCGTTCCTTGGGACTCAAAGAGTTAATGGACATTTCCAACACCTGTTTTAATGGATCTTTCATTGGTACTTTCCAGTTTTCCCGAAGCAACGTTGGACAATAACAGTAACTATTGTAGCTAATTTAATAACTTTTTAAGCACATTTGCTTTGATGATGTACTTCATTTCTTAGATTTGTTCCGCATACAAAGTATAGTGAGACTTTACAAGCACCCTGTACGTTGTGTGTGTGCGCGCGCACATGTGTGCCTGCTTGTATGTGAGTGTAAATATACATATAGGGCAAAAAGTAGTAAGCGGTGTGCATTCTCTCACCATATACATGCAGAAAATAAAATAAGAATTGTCAAAAAGAACCAGTCCTCCTCTTGAGCAGTGTCAAGGTAACAGAATATTTAATCATGTCTGTCGAAAAACACACTGAAGATCAAAACCAGTTCTTGAATTTAAAGAGAAAAAAAAAAAGATAATCTCCACAGACAAAACTGACTGTCACCCCAAAATAACAATATATGATGAAGAAATTGAAAATGTCACAAACTTTGAATATTTAGGCTGCATAATAGACAGGAATGAACTGTTCAACAGAAGTAAGGGAGGATGGCCAAAGCAAAACAAGAATAAACAGTGTTGAAAGTTGTGGTTTAGGCACAAACACAAACACTTAAAAAATTCAAAGATACAATTTTTAGAGTATAGATCTTCCCTGTAACATACAGAGGTGAGTCATGGATTATCTCCCAGTCCTTTAAGGAAGAAATAGTACAGAAAGATTCTCAATACCATGAGCAAAGAAGGAAAGCAATACTGACATTCTAAAAGATCAGAAATCAAAGCAGATTGGCTAATAAACAGCATCTTGTCTAGGAAGCTAAAATATTTTGGCCATATTAAGCGCCACGAAGGATTTGAAAAGACAATTATAGCAGAAAGCATAGTACCAGGAAGGAGGGGCAGGGGCCCACAACACAAAGATAGGCATAAGATATAAATGACTGCTTAGATTTGAAAGTCCCTGAGGTGAGAGAGCTGGTGAAAGACAAGAGTTTCTTTCAGGCAGACTATAATGAGAACAACGTTCTGCAAAGGACCTGCTATATATATATATATATATATATATATATATATATATATATATATATATATATATATATATATATATATATATATATATATATATATATATATATATATATATATATATATATATATATATATACTTTTTCTTTCATGTCAACTGCTTAAAGAATATCATGTCTAAAGAGAGAAATCATTGCCTCTAATATAAAAACAGTAAGATTCTAAATGATGCTCAAGTTTTATTTACTTATATCTACTTGTATGGAAGTCACAGTAGCCTAGTGGTTAGATGTTCACATTCTGCTCCGAAGGTCTTAGATTTGAATCCGGAGTCAGATTTCTCCCACCTCCCCAGGTTGACCCAGCCATAAAATGGGTACAAGGTAATGTCCTGGGAAATAAAGGTGGCTGGCATAATGTTGACTTCATCACCCACTGAGTTCAGATTGGTCTATGAAAATATGAGTCTAGCATCCTGATGCACCAATGGCATGAAACAATTCTTCACTTGTATTAACTTGTATTTATTTTCTACTGTTATTGCAGTTTCTGGTACAAGTATGGCTTCACCACCATTATCACCACAGATCACCAACACCGGGAACACCAACAGCTCACTGTTATCACCACATAGACTGTCTTCACACTGTCCTGACGTGGTCAACTGTCACAACACAGCCGTCAGTCAGAATGTGAACATATCAACTGACATTAGTAGAAACAAAGAAAACAAAGTTGTCCTTGAGAGAAGCACATCAGACTGTGGACAGATTTTAGGTATGGCAGATAATTTTGTAACCTTATATCTCCCTCATCTTCATCTGTGGCTTAAGTGTTGCAAATGTGCTTCATAATACCAGGGTGCCGGGTTCAATCCCAGCTGCAGTCGGTTTGTTTTGCGTTGGTTTCAGCAGTGGTACTTGAAGCTGACCATTCAGAAAGCAATGGCAAACTACTGATTTAGAATTTGCCCAGAAAAACCACAACAGCCAAAACATACTAGGTTTGGTTCTGCAACGTCCTGTAAAGGATACGCAACTAACTTTTCAATATCTCCCTTGGGAGCTATCATGGTGTAGCAGCTAGGTGTTTGCCTGTGGGTTCACTTCCTGCTGAGTTGGACTTTTGTCAGAAATGACCTTAGCTCCCAGGTAGACCCAGCCTTACATGGGTACGAGGTGAAGTCCTGGGAAGTAAAGACGGCTGAATTGATGTTGATCACATTACCCACCGAATGCCGGTTGGTCTATAAAATACAGGTCTAGCCCTATAATGCCTAATACACCTGAAGGAACTGGCAATTGTTCTTTTATATCTCCTCCAACACCCAAAGTGGTAAAAGAGGAAGTGAACAAGAAGAAGATAATTTGGTGATGTATTTCAGTAATGTACATGCAACAAAATATACGCACAACTTTAAAGTTGTCTTCCTCAAAAGAAAAACTGAAACCTATGAAAATAGATATCTGTTTGTTTCACATTAGCATCAGTGGCTTGGGTGTTGTAAACAGGCTTCATAATTTAAAAATACCGGGTTCCATTCAGCTGCAGGTGATTTGGCAGCCTGAAAGAAACTTGATCTCTTACCAGCTCTCCCACCTCATGCACTTTCCCATCGTAGGCATCACTTATAACCTAGTGCCCATCTTTGTGCTGGTCGATCCCTGGCCCTCTTTCTTGGTATGAGGGGAAGTCTGTAAGTATATCACAGATAGCTATTGGATGGCAGGAAAATGTAGTTGGTAGTTTTTAAAGGTGTCATTAAGTGACAGCAACATCAAATTTTATATTTCAGTTCATTAGGTGACACTAGGTATTGCATGAGCATGCACAACACAGAAACAAAATGGCGACTGTACTTACGGAGTGTACCCTCAAAGAACAAGTCCTGTTGTGCGTTTTGGGGGCAAAAGGGCTGCCAGGAAACTACATTCATAAGGAAATACTTCCTGTTTATGCTGACAGAGGCTTATCTAGTAAAGCGGTGCATAGCTGGGCAAAGAATTTTTCTCAAAGATGCTCTTTAATTGTTGATGATCTGGTCCGATAAAGTCCAATGAAGTCTGATCTGGTCATCCTGTTGAGATTGCAACAGACGCATCCATGCAGCAGATGGAGGCGATGATTAGAGGTTACAGGCGAGTAACGGTTGACTCTGTAGCAGATGCAATAGGGTGCTCACATGGTTTTTGGTCCACTGGTAACCTACCTTTTCAGGAGACATTTCAGGAATCACACAGAAGTTGAATGTGAAGTGAAAATATGGTTTAGAAACAGTGCACACAGTTCTATGCAGCAGGTTTGGTAGGACTTGACTTATAAAATGATGGGACATGTGCATCAGTGTTGGTGAAAATAATGTTGAAAAATACTAGGATGGTCCATGTGTGGTTTCCAAATTGTTATCTTTAGTTTTATTTTAAACAACCATTTGTGACCTACTTATTGACTTACCCTCGTACCATGCTTTCTCTTATTAATTTTCCAATCAGCCTTGGCACTTAAAGTTGCCAAAACATTTCAGTTTTTGAGACAAGATGCTGTTTATTAGCCAATCTTCTTTGATGTTCACATTTAAATTAAATAAAAAATGTAAAATTTGTCTGTCTCATAACATGAACATTGAAAGTATCAGTGTTAACCATTGGCCATTTTTTTAAGTGTCAAGTTAAAACCATTTGAGGTTCTTTCATCTCCTCACAGATCAGAAAGCCACATGTCTGTGAAGGCTTTGGTGTGATGCATGAGCTCTACTGATCTATACAGCTGGACTCCACTTGTTCTCTACCTGGGATCTCTGTGCTGTGTGCAGAGCACATGTTTGCAGAGCACATGTTTGCAGAGCACATGTTTGCAGAGCACATGTTTGCAGAGCACATGTTTGCAGAGCACATGTTTACAGAGCACATGTTTGCAGAGCACATGTTTGCAGCAAATATTCAGTACTGGCTCAAGAAGGGGTTCTTGTCCACATGGGCAAAGCTGTGAGTCTCCCATCTTTCCAGGTCTGAATGTGGAAGCAATCAGAAACAGATAGCCTTGAAGCAAACTAAACAACATTCTGTAGGGGGTCTCCATGGCGAAGAGGTCAGACAATTTGCCTTGGGCTCTGAAGGTTGTGGGTTCATTTCACGACTGCGCCCATCATTTCATGCAATTTTTATGGAGATACCTGGGGATCATAGCCAGAGCTATGGAGTTCGTGTTCTGTGCTGCGCTCTCTGTAGGCTGCTAGCCATTCTGCGGAGAGAGACCGAGACAAATGGAAAATCTCAAGGCATTGAAGTCGATTCTCTCAAATTTAACCTTTAATCTTTAGCATTCTGTAGTCAACAGAACATTCAGTGTTTAATATTGTTGTGATATTTAAGTTACTGTTGTGTTCCTTAACTGAAAATGAATTTTCTGTTTGCTTTCTTGGCTTAAACAGCCAAAGAGACCTCTGGATCACCAGGATCACCCAAAGAGTGGAAATCTCCAGGGATAAAAATCAGAGAATACATTTTTAAGTAAGTATCTGTTGTGTCATAGACAGGGAAGAATGACTATTGTGTTATTTAGCAGTCTCTTTCTCTGTTGCATACACACAGTTGCCTATTTTATTTTCAAATGCTTTTTTTCTCAGACTTCTAGGATTTTTGGATTGCTCACTGTTTGTTTACTATTAACAGATATACAAAACAGCTAGTTCTAAGAAAAAAAATATATGTATATTTTTGTTTAAATATATAAAGTTTGCATGCCTGACCACTGACTGCCAAAAATAATCTTCTATGTGAGCTACTAAAAGGAAAATGCTCTCAAGATGGACAGAAGAAACGTTTTAAGGACAGCCTCAAGACCTCACTGAAAGACTTCTCTATTGATCCTAAGACCTGGGAAGTTGCTGCATATGACTGCTCATCCTGGCACTCCTCTCTTCATCAAGGAGCTGTCACGGGTGAAGCTGCAAGAACTGTATCAGCAATTCAGAAAAAACACGCCAGGAAAGACACTGAAGCAAATCACCTGAGAGATGCGGCTGCTATTCCCTGTCTACACTGCTCAAGAACTTACAACACATAATTGGCCTTATCAGGCATCTGCGCACTCACAGAACTTAATCCAGTCACCATGGATGAAAGGACTGGTCATCATCACTTGTGATGAATAAACAACAATAACTATATATATATGTATATGTGTGTGTATAGTTTTCAAGACGAGGACTTGTTGCGTAATATGTTTTTTGTTTTGTAATATAAAGTGCATTTAAAAAAAAAAAACTTTAAAGAATTCAGAATGTTTTAAAATATATATAATTCATTTTAGGTTGTCTGGTGACCGACAAACCATATTTGGCAGCACAATTGAGAACTTTATTCAGTGTACCTTAGAGAGTCAAGAGGCCAACCCACAGTATGTCATGCGTAATGTAAGTTTTCTGTAAATAAGTTACATGTAGTATAGATTTACATCAGCTATTCATGTATTAACATTGGTTTAGCAGGAAGGAATATCATCTTGCTTTAAACTCGACTCAGAAAGAACTGGGTCTGAACACAGGACAGGACAATATCCAGAAAGAGATTGGATGTTTAAACAAGTTTTGGTAATTCCCAGGTTTTTCTCCTGAAAAAGGTGGAAAAAAAAAAGGTGCTGGTACTCATCAAAAACTGTTTATTACAGCAGGACTAAAAAAAAAAATGGTTGTAAAAAATAAAAAAGTGCCAGTACTGCGTGCCATCAAAACCCAACCCCCTCGACATTTTTATTTTTCTAGACACTCTCCTGAAGGTGTAGGGTTTAGCTCCATATTAAAGCAGATTTTTTTGTTGAAAAAAAATAAATAAATGTATCAACCAAGCCTAAGATGGGCATCAGGAGATGTTCTTGAAAGTAAAGGTGACAATGTCACTCATAGACTGTCAGCACGTCTAGCACTGTATGCCTAAGGTTTAAAAAGCCTTTGTTACCTGTATTGTTTCTTTTAATTTTTATTTTCTGTTTTATTTCCACTTTATACAAGGTGGCCTTAAAATTGAAACCTTGATAATTTGATGGAAATGACAATAACCTTGCCATTGTTATGTTACCTGTCAGTATCGTTCTTACGGATGTCAAGAATGTTAAGCACGTTCCAGTATGATGATGCATAACTGTCAGTCTAGATTGTGTGAGTGGAGCAGGAAGTTTCAAAACGGTGTGACTTTTGTGACAGACTGTTAATGATGGTGTCAGACACACAGAGTGGTGACCTCAAGATTGATTGCAACCGTTAAAGGCCCCCAATTAGGAAAACCGCTGATTACAAGACATGAGCATGTGTTTTTTTTGGCAACGTCTATCACACTTTCAAGTTTTTGTTTTTCGTCCCCTCGTATATCTACATTGTTAGCTTCATCAACAAATTAGAATCATCACAATGTTCAGCCTATGTTCTCAATGAATGCTGTCAGATCTGATCTTACATGAGAATTATTCTTAGCACATGCGGAGGAAATCCACTAATTTTTTTTTTAAACAAACAGTGCCTTTGAAAAGTAAGCTTAGGAGAGCCAGCAAATATACTGTCATTATCTTGTAGAAAATGCTGCAAAGGTCAGCAGAATTAAATATAAACCTCACTGCAGAAGAGCTGACAGAAAAGGTTAGTTGCATATTATTTACAGGATGTTGCAGAACCATCCTCAGCAGCCCCTTGCTGTTGTGTGGTTTCTCTAGGCAAATTTACGTCCAGTAGTTTGCCACTGCTTTCTGGACGGTACCTCCTGATACTACTGTCAAAACCAATGCAAAATGCATGGCCCGCAGCTGGAATCAAACCTGGCACCCTGGCATTACCATGCGTTCGCATCGACTTAGCCACAGAGCCGACTACTTGACTGAGGCACAGTTAAAAAAAAAAATTTTTTATTTAGTGTCGTCTTCAAGATAAATTTGATTTCTAAGAGCTATATTATTGAATTTTTGTATTTTTTATTTCAAAATGCAACATGACAATTGTTAAATGTAAAAATATTTCAGGTCCGGCAGTTCATGACGGGTATTAAAAATTACTTAGTAAAACATGGAGAGGGGGAGCTTGAAAACTTGATAGAGAGAGAGAGAAGTAAGGTAAGTTGTAATAACAACTCTCTAAGTTTTTTCAGATCATTTGAATGTGATAGTCTAGTTCAAGTGTGAGCTTCTTGGAAGTTTGAAAACATTCATGAACCCACTGTGGCCTAATCCAGAGATCTCTTCCTGCCTTGATGCTGGGAGGCATTCAAGAAGTAGAGAAAGAAAAAAAAGAAGAAGAAGATGGTAGAGAGGACAGAAGCAAGCAGGGAAAACAGTTTTCTAATATTAACATAATTAAGATGATGAAGAGAGAACCAGGTTGATTGGTTAGCATTGTTTTGTACTGTAAGATAATTCAGTTGGAGGAGAGAGGGACAAGAAGTAGGCACTAGCGTAGTTTTGTACTGTAAGACAATTAACATGAAGGAAAAGGGGACATAAGTAGGGATTTAAGCATTGTAGGGGGCCGCGTTAGCGCATTTGATAGGAAACTCGCTTTCAAATCCAACTGCAACTCGCTGCAGCCCACGACCGGTGTTCGAAACCTGGTGGTTCCCGGGGTTCACCAAGCCTCTAGGAAATGGGTACCAGAGTAACACTCTGGGGGTAAATGGAGGAACGTCGCTGTAGCTACAGAGCTTTGTGCTGACAGCGACACAGGCAGACAGTTTCTTATCAGCTGTCCGTACTGGTGACAGAGCACTTATGGTTTGTAACAGTGTGCAGTGATGCTGGCTCATATCTCCCGACTTTACCTATAAGCATTATTTTGTACTGTAAGATAATTAACTGAAGGAAAGAGGGACAAGAATATAAGCATAGTATTTTATTGTAAGATAATTGAACTAAAGGAGAAACAGACAACAAGTAGGAGATAAGCATAGTTTTGTCCTGTAAGATAATTAAACTAAAGGAGAAAGGGAGGCAAGCATAGTTTTGTAAAGTAAGTACAGGGCCCTTTTCATCCCAGTGACACATTGGGCATATAAGGCTACGCTCATTACTGAAAAAGGTATGACTCCATCAAGACCCGAACCCATGAATTTCCGATCTGCAGGCGAGCATTTAGCTGCTACACCATGACGGCCCTCTTTTGTACTGTCAGATAATGAAATTGATTTAGAAAGAATAGATTGATATGATCGATAGATTTTTTAAATAGTTTCAGCTTTTGAGATAAAATAACTGTCCAGTAAACATAAACAACTTTTGCAAGTTTATTTCTTGTTTGTTTAGGTCGTTAAACTTTAATTTCTTTATACTAGTCTGGTTTGTCTGTTTTGTTTTTGGATCATACTGTGAAGCATTCTGTGATTAATTGCGTAATAAAACATTTTAACAGAACTGATACAAAACAAATCACATGCACAGATTACACATACTTCTTCTTCTTGTTTTGTCGTCTCATTGATACCAGGTTGAAGCCCAGTGTTGTGGTTTTCTGTATTTGTCTTGCTCTTCTCTGGTGGCTTGAGTGATTAATTTGTTCATCTTTTTGCAGGTTCCTGCTACACCATTTATCTATCTCTTTCTTTGTCTTTCTCTTGCCTTCTTCCCAGATGTTCTACTGTAAAACGTCACATACATACACATACACAAATATATAAATCCACAGATTGGTTAAACAAGTATACACAAACACATAAGTGAACACATCCAGACACTGACTCGTAAAGTAAGTAAACATGATATTTGATGTATTAATCACGTTAACATAAATGTTCTACTATTTTAATTTTCATTTAACAAGATTGTTTTGGTATATAACAGATTGTGTATTTTAATTTTCATTTAACAAGATTGTTTTGGTATATAACAGATTGTGTATTTTAATTTTCATTTAACAAGATTGTTGTGGTATATAACAGATTGTGTATTTTAATTTTCAGCTTGGAATTGATGAGATTTTAAACATAGACGCAATCATTGAGCAAGCTCTGCACATCTGTGTGCTGAAACCATTAAAGTATCACATCTACAGACTTTGTGTGGAAAAGTATAGCAAGTAAGTGTTGTATATGTCCATGTGTTACCAATGTCCATAAGGAACATTCTTCTTCTTTCTATGAGTGCCAATCAATACATTGTCTGTTTGTTTATTTTATATGAGGTTTCTATGGCCTCAGGGGTTTCCCCCTTTGTTTATTCATAAGGGTAACGAAGAATAGTACTAACCATGTCATAAGAGAAAACTAAAAGAGGGTAGGGATGAGACTGGCTGCAAAAAAAAAAACACAAAAACCTGTAGAAACTAGCTGAAAATTCAATGCAGTATAAACAAAAGAAAGAAAAGCTAAAATTTTACATAAAACCTGTTCTGCTGTATGTCAGCGAACAAGCTAAGAAGAATTTTGAAGTAACAGAGATGTGATTTCTGAGACGAATGTTACGAATACCTTGGATGGCCAGAGTAACTAACAACAATTGTTTAAAAGAAGCTAATGAAAGTAGATCTCTATATACAACAATAAGAAGGAGACAAACATTGTTCTTTAGCCATGTAATGAGAAGAGAGGCATCAGAAAACATAGTGACAACTGGAAAGATCAGTTGGAAGAGTGGTAGAGGCAGACCAAGAGAGATGATGCCGGATGGGCTAAAACGATGACAAGGAGGGATATCATCAAGCAAGCTGTTACACGCAACCAGGGATCGTGATCTGTAAAGATGCATGAGCGCCTTTGCCAACTGGCAGGGCACATGATGATGATGATCATAAACAAGTCAGCAAAAGGCTTGGTGTGAGATGGCCGAGGGTCTATTTTCCATGCAGAACACTACAGGCAAGCTTCTGGAGAAAATTGTAGCACATAGACTCGCTGATGACTTGGAAAAGCATGATAGGTTACCATCCACACTTGGGGGATACAGACGAAGCAAAGGGACATGGCTCAATGCAGCAGTCTTCGCCTGTGAAGTCTATGAAGGTTTTCAGGTGAGAGAAGAGGCATGTGCAGCTGCACTAGATGCGTACAACAGAGTACCATTTGAATACTTGGTGCACATACTCCTCCAACTGCCAATATCTCCCTTCATCACCCGCAGAGATGTGTGATGCTCAGGTGTGGTTGTTGGTCCTCAGAACTGATAACCATCAGCCCAGGATTGTCTCAAGGTTCTCCGCTGTCTCCAGTGCTATTCAACGTGTACACAGTGCTGATAACTGAGCAGAAGTTGCATGGGAGTGGCAGGACTTTGTCATTTGCTGATGACCTCTTAGTATATTGACATGGAAGAGATCGTCAGGAGATTGCCAAGTCAATGCAGAGTGAACGTAATCGCATCTCCTCCTGGTGTGCAGATTCTAATGCTCATGTCAACCCTGCGAAGGCCTCAGTAACGTGGCTCTCTTTGAACACGCATATAGTGAAGGCAGACTTACCAGCAGTGGAAAGTAGCGAGGACATTTTGATGCGAACAGATCTGATGACATACTTTGGATTGAGGTTTGATCGCAGCCTATCCTTCAAAGAACATGTTGACCATGTCATAACAAAGGAACGTTAAGGCCTGTCAGCAATGCGGGTCCTGGCTGCCGCAGAGACTGCTTCTGCTTCTGTTCCAGGGACTTGTACTTTCTCCCATCGAATATGCTCTTGCCATCCTCACCGCCATAGATTGAAAGACTTGAGAAGGTGCAAAACGAAGCAATGCGCATTATTCTAGGGTGCACTGGAGACACCTCTTGTGTAGCAGTGAGGTACCTTCTTGACTTCCCTACCATGAACACAAGGATCAAGATCTGGAGGGTTTGTGCATACCTCAAAATAAGCTCAGATCTGAAGCACCCTTTGCACCACATGCTCTTCAAGAAAAAGGGCAATAGGCTCAAAAGGGGCAAATCATGGCTGGGTAGGGCAGAGGATGACATCATGCAGGTTTGCAGACTTACAGACATCCATCCAGGTGAGGAGTGGATACCAGAGTCTAAAACGCCCAGTCTCACATTTTCCTGTGTCATAACGCTTGATAGGAGTTGTCGGGAGCAGAATCCAGCTGCTGTCAATGCCGAGGTATGCGCGCTTATCAGTGACAAGTCAGATAAGACAGATGTGGTGATCTTCACAGACGGATCCGTTATACGAGGACATAAGAGTGCATGGGCATTTACAGCTCGCTTTTCAGGCAGAACAGTTAAGGAAGCCAGCGGTGCCTTTTCCATGACCACCAGCAGCATGACGATGATGGTGATGGCGGTGACACAGGCTTTTATGTGGCTGGGATCACAGGACTTTTCCAGCATGTGTGTGCTGAGTGATTCTTTGAGTATGATCCGGCGGGTCGAGGCAGGCTGGTTACGCAGACAGTGGCTTGAGTCATTGCAAAATTCTCCTATGTGTGCAGTTACTTTCATATTCGTCCCAGGGCATGCAGGCGTTGTTGGTAATGAGAGAGCTGATAGACTGGCAGGCACTGCATTAATTGAAGATGGCTGGCCCATGGATCACGCAGACATTGTCATTGCCCTTAGAGAGATAGGACGTTCTGATGATTTTGGAAGCAACATGTCCACATCACTTCTAAGAATACGCATATTGGGAAAGGACACAAGACGCACAGGAAGTCTTGTTAACCAACATAGGACTGGTACTATAACCCCACAACGCTGATGAATTTGTTGAGATGGGAATCTGAGCGCCTATGGACGTGTCCGGAGTGCTGTGAAGATAATCTAACTCATAACTCAATGTGCAAGTCACTCTTGTTAGAGAGAATGTAGAAAAAGATGTTTCTCCTTAAGGGCTTAAACTAATTCTTTGTTATTTTTCACCAGAAATGGAGCGCTTGAACAACTGTCCAAGAATATCAAGTATGCCAGGACAAAATCAGCACAAGATATTGGAGTACGAGTAAGTTACACAAGCCTTCAGTAGTCCTGTTAGTCTTTTTTCTCTTCTGCGACCAATTTTTCTCTCTCCCTTTTCTCCTTCTTAAAAGAACCAACAGAATATGTTGATCACAGTGTTAGTATCTCAAAGCTGCACCATATCCAGTAAATACCTGATTGGTATTGCTGCAACCTGTCCATTCTTCCTGACTGGTTTTAATAGTTTAAGATGGCTTTGATAGATTATGAAGATTGAAGAGTAGGCAAATATGAGCCATCAGAAAAAGACATTCTTCTTCTTCTGTCTTTCTAACTCCTAAAGGAGCATAGGCCCTCAACCAACTCACACCATGTGTTTCTATTCTTCACTGTCGCCTGCAGCTCTCCCCATGTCCTTCCTCTTCTTTCTAATTTACAGTTCTAACATTTCAGGTGCCAATTCTGGAAGTTTTCCATTATACTTGCTACATCATACAGTTCTAACATTCCAGGTGCCAATTCTGGAAGTTTTCCATGATACTTGCTACATCATACAGTTCTAACATTCCAGGTGCCAATTCTGGAAGTTTTCCATGATACTTGCTACATCATACAGTTCTAACAATCCAGGTGCCAATTCTGGAAGTTTTCCAGACTTCTTTTGGCTGTCTCCACACCGTGTCATACTTCTTCTACTAGAAGACCCCCCCCCCCCCTCCCCACCCGCCTTCCTGGATGGCTGGGTTTTCTTGTTTCTCTTTTTGACTTTTTCCATGGTTGGTTGGTTTTTCCCCCTGTTTTTACAGGATGAGGTAGCCAACCCCAAGCCCAACCTTACTCTTAGTCGCCTCTTACGACATACCTGGTAGGGTGCAGTGTCACTATTGTTTGCTTCGTGTGAGTGCCCTGGTGACACACAGGCAGAAGAAGACATTAACAAATTGTTAAGTTATTTTTCAACTGATGAAAATAGTAGTAGAAAAGATCTAATGTATGCAAAGATACTAACCCACACTTAACCTTTCAACATAGCTATTTATCATCATTAACTGCCTTGCTGATTGGCTGACTGGCTGATAGTGCTTCTTTAAATCTTAAAATCTCCAACAGCATGTATCATTTCATGGGCTGACACCTTTCAATGCCCACACACACACAAAAAATGTCAAGACAATCAGGCTATCAGTTTGGATTTCAACTTCTTCCAAATGGGTCACCCCATAATTGCTCCATTCTGGTGCCAGTGAAAACCTCACAAAATACCCATTGCTGTCCCATTTGAAAGGTCACACAGACAGCATCTCTGCAAAATCTAACAGCTGGCACTTACTGCATAAGGCACATTTTCAGTTGTGTGACAACCAGCCAGTAACTATTTTGTGAATATGTAATTTACAACATACATCTCTCCGGAAAGCACAGACAATAAGATGATCAAGAATCTTATGTCAGTTTTTCAATTTGTAAACAGGCTGTATAGAGATTATATCAATCTTTTTATGTATTTATAGACATTATATCAACCTTTTAATGTATTTATTGCTTTATAGTCAGGTCTCAAGTTACCACAGAACATAGACATGGAAATTATAAAGCATTACCTGGATCTGATGCAAAAGTCTTATTCACCGCTTCAGAAACTGCAGAATCTTCTGAATGCAACGTCCACCATTTATCACAGTGTAAGCTTTTTCTTTTCTTTGGAACATAATGTTATCCTCATGAATTCCAGGCCCCATTGTGGAGAGGAAACTTTTATCCTCATATGAGTTCCAAGTCCCATTGTGGAGAGGAAACTTTTATCCTCATATGAGTTCCAAGTCCCATTGTGGAGAGGAAACTTTTATCCTCATATGAGTTCCAGGCCCCATTGTGGAGAGGAAACTTTTATCCTCATATGAGTTCCAGGTCCCATTGTGGAGAGGAAACTTTTATCCTCATATGAGTTCCAAGTCCCATTGTGGAGAGGAAACTTTTATCCTCATATGAGTTCCATGTCCCATTGTGGAGAGGAAACTTTTATCCTCATATGAGTTCCAAGTCCCATTGTGGAGAGGAAACTTTTATCCTCATATTAGTTCCATGTCCCATTGTGGAGAGGAAACTTTTATCCTCATATGAGTTCCATGTCCCATTGTGGAGAGGAAACTTTTATCCTCATATGAGTTCCAAGTCCCATTGTGGAGAGGAAACTTTTATCCTCATATGAGTTCCATGTCCCATTGTGGAGAGGAAACTTTTATCCTCATATGAGTTCCAAGTCCCATTGTGGAGAGGAAACTTTTATCCTCATATGAGTTCCAAGTCCCATTGTGGAGAGGAAACTTTTATCCTCATATGAGTTCCAAGTCCCATTGTGGAGAGGAAACTTTTATCCTCATATGAGTTCCAAGTCCCATTGTGGAGAGGAAACTTTTATCCTCATATGAGTTCCAAGTCCCATTGTGGAGAGGAAACTTTTATCCTCGTATGAGTTCCAGGCCCCATTGTGGGGAGGAAACTTTTATCCTCATATGAGTTCCAGGTCCCATTGAGGGGAGGAAAAAGAATACACCCATTGCCATATTAACAAGCATGTTGTAAGATTCCACTAATTAGAGTTGCCTTCAAAGTCAGAGTGAATCTGCCTGAAAGGCAAGGAACCAAGGGACTGAATACAAATAAGCCAGATTTTTAAAATAGATGCGCATGCAAAACTCAAGTTCTGGAGCAAGACTAAAGTCCAGAAGTGGATGAACAACCAGAATGTTCCACTGGAGTTTACAGCTGGTGAATGCGAAGAAAAAGACTAAATTTCTTCTTCTGCATTCCCCCTTAAAAGTAAATCCTTAATTCTTCTTCTTCTTCTGCCTTTCTATCCTCCAATGGAGCATAGGCCCTCAACCAACTCACGCCAAGTCGTTCTATCCTTCGCCATTGCATGGGGAGCTCTCCCCATGTCCTCCCAATCTTTCTAACTTCATTCTCCAGCTCTCTTCTCCATGTGTTTTTTGGCCTTCCTTTATTCCTATGCCCCTGTGGGTTCCAATGCAAAGACATTCTAGTTATGCTATTCTACTGTTTTCTCAGTGTGTGTCCTATCCCACGCCAGTGCTAAAAATTGACAATATTAAAGGCCAATTGTAAGATTTACACATTTCCTATATTGAGAATACTGCGTAATCTGCGCAAACAGTACTTCAGATGAATTGTTTTTCAAATTTAGTGGAGAACAATAGTAAAGTCTCTGTATTCTTATTTTAATTAAATTTTTTTTGTCTTTTTATTGTTATTTTAATACTGTCTTTTGCAAACACATATTTAAATCGGCCATTCTTTTTAAAAATTTAGGTCCAAGGAAGCAACAAACAGACATCGACTAGATCTTCATCTATGGGGGCCGAAGGTGAGTTTGATGACTGTGTCAGGATTAAACTAATATTGGGGTGATAAGAGTTTTATTCAAGAATAAACTCCTTTCAGAAGGGAGACTGGAGGTAAACAAATCAATACATATTTGCAGTAGTATAGAAATATTATGCTGCTCTTCCTGTTTTATTTATAACTGGTATAGACACAGCTGTTCTATTTCAGTATTGGATATGTAGGTTTATTAGTTATTTTTATTATTTAATATTGCATAGATTAAAAAAAAAAAAACGTTAAGTAAAGGACCTTTTCCCATTCCTTGAGGTGTTTTGGGCATACAGGTCAAGACCTACATTTTATAGACCAATTGCATAGATTATGTCAATTGCATAGATTATGTCAATTGCATAGATTATGTCAATTGCATAGATTATGTATTAACTGTAAATAAGAAATAATTGTATCCTCACCTACAATATTTTGCAACAGTGGTTGGAAACCACCACTGGTCTGGCCAGTTTGCTACTGCATTTCCCAGTTTGAACTGAGACGACACAAATCTAAGTCTCTTGTTTGTGCCTTCTTTGTGTGTGTTTTTTTTTTTAGTATCCAGAAGCCATGAGTTGTAGGCTCAGTATTATGGATATCACAACCCTTCGGCCTTGATTCCATGATAGGTACCGCAATTCTGGTAGAAATTTGGCTTTTCTGCCTACCCCTGGGCGTGGACCCGGACCACAGGGAGTTCGTCACCAGGTCACCGTGCAGTCTGATTTAGCCAACTATGCTAGAGAGCCAGTTCCTTCTTTGTTTAAAAGAATAGACACTTTATAACATTTCTTGGACATAACTAGTTATTTAATGTTTCAATGTGCGCAGATTTTTTGCCGATCCTCATCTATGTCATTGTCCACTGTGGCCTTGTGTCTGCTGAGATTGAGGCTGACTTCATGTGGGGCCTGCTGCAGCCATCTTTATTGACTGGAGAAGGCGGCTACTACTTAACAACCCTGTCAAGTGCTGTTCTTATACTGAAAAACTTCCAGGAAACACACCAGCTGGCACCTACTCAGGTTGAGGTGAGAGATCTTATTGAAGCAATTTGTCATAGTCTGCAGTATGAATGAATGAATCAGTGAATGATTCAGGAACTGACAGTATTGTGTTCAAGACATTTCCACACATGCTGTATGACCCCTTCCTTAGTTGCCATACTGTTGGTGCCTGTTGCAACCTGATTAAAATTCCAGCTACCTTTTCCTCTATGCACAAAATGTCGTCCAGATTCCCTGCTTACTCACAACTGCAGGCAGTGTAGCCTTCTGTTGGCTTGAGATCTAGCTGTAACATAAGTAATTGTAACTCACAGAGCATCTTGGAAAAGGTGGATTCAGGTAAGCTCCTTGCTGAGTGGAAGCTTCTCTTCAGAGGCCCTGGACAGTTAGCGTCCTTTAAAAATTTGCTCCAGTTTATACCAGTGTGTTGGGAAATGAACAGCTGGATAGACAGGCTGGTTCTGTACCACTTGGGGGTGAACTGATATTATGACAAGCTAGATGTTGTAAAAGTCCTTTGGTAGCAAGTGAACAGCTGGATAGACAGGCTGGTTCTGTACCACTTGGTGGTGAACTGATATTATGACAAGCTAGATGTTGTAAAAGTCCTCGTGGTCTGGAGAGAATGGTGCTGCAAGGAGTAAGCAGGGGAATCTGGCTAATGCTCAAGGAAAAGGCACGACGGATATACAGTTAGACTGTTACTGGAACTCAGCGCTTGCTGCTGAAGACTGGGACAAAGAGCTTATGGCAATGTCCCAAGTGCTTTGTTGTATTTTTCTTGTAACTCATTATTTACAACCGAATCATCTCTCCAAGTATAGATACTCTGTCGTGATCTGTTGCACTGTCAGTTGACCCACAGAAAGACTTCAGTGTGACTGCCTTATCATAAAGTATCTCACCACCCAGAGCGGGCTACAGTATTATTATTATTAGTAGCTGTTGTGATATAGTTTTGTTCCTGTATTATCATCAGCATTGTTCTCTAACAAGGGGAATGCAGCACACCTGGTAAGGTTTATTTATGTAATGAAATGGGGTCTATCTACTCATAAGAAGTATTTTTTTTTTCTCCTTATAATTTTACCTGGGCATTTTTGGAGCCTACTTTTTGTTATTTCCAGCTGTCTTAGGATTTTATTATTCAGTTTGTGTGCAGGATCTCCTGTTTTTCATCCGTATCTGAAAAGGCATGGTATCCAATCTCACGATCCAAAAAGGCCGGAGGTGTGCGATATTAGAAACTGATGGTTCTGATAAAAGTGCCCTGCCCTATGCTTCTAACCAGGTAACTTTTGAGCATGAAGCAGTCACTTCGGCTCTCAGCCATACTTCCCCTGTTATTAATGTTAATTTATGTTATGAAATAAGGCTATTTTTATATTCTTCTTCTTCTTCTCCTTCTTCTTCTTCTTCTTTTTAAGCCCTTGAGGTTCATTGCTACAGATATCACATAGCCCCATTAATGTATAACAGACCTTCTGTCTCTAGTTGGTGACTCCAGTTGTTTGTGAGCTGCCTGTATATTATTTCTCCACCATCGTCATGGTCTGCTTGCTTGTCTACTCCCATTAAGCTCTTCCCTGTACATGGTTTTTGTCTCTCTGTTGGCTTCCATTCTCCCTTGTACATTTTTGAGATCACCTTCATCACACATGAACATAAGTACTCCAGTCTCCTCCTGAGTATGTTTCCAAGTGTTTTTAGGCTAACAAACCCTATTCTGTTTTGGTTGATGTAACAACTTGTTGGTCGTGCATGATTTCCCTGTCTAGCTGCTTCAAATGGTACACCCAGGGTATGCAGTCTATTCAGTGAAAAAATCATTCTCCCAAACGCCCCACCCGTTGCAGTCTTTTAGTCTTCATGATACCTGTAATAAGTGCTGATGTAGATAGATTATGAATTTCACTGTTGCAGTTAAAGGAGTGTTTGTGACATTTTAATACTGAATATGAAATATTCTTGTTCTGTGACATCCAGGGCAAGTTACCCACGTTGTCAGACATGCAGGGTTTCCTGAAGATTGCCATCCCAGATGAACTGCATGGCTCTATTGTGTGGAAGACTCTACCCGTTAGACCTAACATGAACACCAGGGACGTATGTGAGTATATCATGTGTTCAACTATACTGACAGCACTATACTTTCTTTAGTTGTGGTGTGTGACTGTCATGTGCGATGCTCTGAGTTGTAGTATTTAACTCATGTGTGATGTTTTGAGTTACGACATTTGACTGTCATGTGTGTGAGTCTGAGTCCTGATTTGAGCCATAATATTTGACTGTCATGTGCAATATGAGGCATAATATTTGACTATCAAGTATGATGTTTGAGTCGCAGTATTTGACTGTTATATGTAATGTTTAAGTCACAATATTTGACTGTCATGTGTAATGTTTAACAATACTTGATGGTTGTGTATGATGTTTGAATCATAATATGTTACAAAAAGACAGTGGCCAGTGAGAACGCCAGATGTGTTTAGTATGATCAAAAGGTGTAAAGATATATAATGTATGACTCAATGATTAAAATTCAGGCGTTGAGCCAGTAACACATTATGGGTTGCTTAGAACTGAAATAGTTAAAGAGCTGGAGAACAAATGAAATGACATCTTTATTGAAGAACACTGTTTCCCAAATTGAAATGTATAGTATTGGCTAAAAGTTTAGGACCACCAAGTAAATGATATTTACATACTATTATGGAGTATTGCATCAACTGTTTTAGAGCTATGGTTGGCCCTAAATTATCAGTGGATGAAATACTCAGTAAGAGCGTGACAGATTTATTTACTGAGTAGTCTTAAACTTTCGGCCACAACTGTAAATGGACTGTCCTGACCTTATGTATTTGTTTCAGGTGCAATGGTTGCTCACAAGTTCAAGATCACAAATCCTCAGGACTATGGGCTTTTTCTATTATGTGATGGCTTTGGTGAGTTGTTCAGTCGGAAATAGTAATTAATTGTTTTTCTGTGGCCATTTGGGTTGATTTGATTTGATTTGATTTGATTTGATTCAAGAACTGACATCATAGCACTCGGGGCATTTCCATAAGCGCTCCGTCCCCATCCTTAACAGCCAGTGAAGAGTTCTGAAACTAATGGTGCCAGTAGCATTCTGATTAAACGTCCATCTTGCCTTTCCTTTGAGCCTCCAGTATCTACCGGAACCTCTCGTCACTCCCTCCTGCATCAATCTCACCAGACTGTGATGATCCATCTGCTCCTCCGAACTTTACATGCTCTCCCACAAGGCACTAACCACATCTGCCTTATCATGCATCAGTATTCCACCAAGCTGTGCAGAGCCAGCAAGTCTGTCCGCCTGTTTATTTCCCAACACACCGGCGTGACCTGGTGAAAAAATCCAGACAATACTGCTCACCCGTGTCCTCTGCAGCGAGGCATGCCACTCTGCACGAAGCATGCATGTCCTGATCTTCCTCAGCATGCTTTCTGAGTCAGTTACAATCACGATGTGTGTGTGTGTCATGTTCTCTAGCCAGCGGTAAACTGCAGTGACCACTTCCCTCTCCATTCTTAAGCTGGATGTTGTGGTATAATATGCTAGGCTCTCCTGTACCAAACGTCGACAATTAACTTTTGCTAAGAAACCCCAAACACTTCCTTTGCCTCTTGACACTAAACCGTCTGTGTAAATGATCAAATCTTCTGAGCGAGCATTATCTTGAATTAATTGCTGAATTTCCACCTCTATGGCACTTACTGGCCAGTCTCTGCATTCCCAGCTCAGTGTGATTATGACCCTACACAAGTCTGACTGTTCAGGTGGCACTTTGACCCACTAATCTCCTCGCCTAATGTTCTCAAGGATGCAAACCTGTCTGATTGTGTCTTCTGCCTGAGCCATCCATGACCTCCCTCTTATCAACCGCTGACCCTTAACTGCACCCAGAGCTTCGTGCAAAGGGTGGTCTGTGTCTGCAGCTACCCTGAGATAAGACTTCATCTGCAGCACCTTGTGCCTACCTGCAACAGTCGGCAAGCCATGGATGTATCGCATACACACCACTGGGGTGTCTTTGGTGCAACCCAGAATGACCCACATAGCCGCGTTCTGTATGCGCTCTAGTTTGTCCATCTGGCTCTTAGAGACGGTAAGCAGTCCCAGGCCATAATCAGACTTTTCTTTTATTAATATGAGCGGGCCTTGCTAGTCACACTCGCCATGGTCACGGGCTGTGATTTCCAGGACTCCCTGTAGCACAATATAACACTATAGTCTGGAAAGTCAGAAAGATGATACAAAACAGTGTATTTAAGTAAACATTATGGTTGAAATTCAAGAGGAAGAGCCAGACCATATATTGTTTGGAACTGAAATATCCATGGAACATTGCCAGATGGGACTTTCATCATACATACACTGTGGGAAATGCCTGGTTAAAAATAAAAAATAAAATGAAAACATGGATAGAGCTGGCAATTTGTTTATGTTTAATAATCCCTGACGCAAAAACAAACAAAAAAGGCACTTTAAAGATTAATATTTAGTGTTTAAGGCAGCATCAAAAGTAAAAAGAAAAGATTTGTTTAATTAATATAAACTTTTTCTGGAAATGAAATACTTTTTGAATTTATCACCATCAACTTTGCCGAAACTTGGAATCTATGATTTTTATAGCCATCCGAATTTATGTCACTGTAATAATGCAACTATTTTGTGAGATAGCATAATCTCAAAAACTTTAACTGGCATTTCTAAAATGAGCAAAAGATAAATGACCAGGTGGTTTGGGCAGGGCAAGAACACCGACCTAGTCTGTGATTCTGGTGGTAGAATGCAGGGCTTTACTTAAACATGTGCAGCTGCATCAGGCGGTAACATTTTGAGGCTGTTAATTGTAACTAGTGTTAACCAAATGTTTATATTTTTTTTTCTGCTTTTATCATTAAGAAACATGTACTAGAAATGTGTTAAAATAGTATAGCAGCAACAATGCTGAAGTTTAGCTGAGGGAAAAGGGGTATAAAATTAATTACTGCACAGGGCTACATAATTTAAAATACATCCTTGGTAGTATGAGACAGCGGATCACGACCAGCTATGCTTATTGGTATGAGATATCTTCTTCTTCTTCAGCTTTCTGAACCCTTGAGGTTCACTGCTGCAGATATCACCCGCCTCCATTCATCTCTCTGGTTAGCCTTCTCTTTCTGGTTGGTGACACCAAGTGTTTGCAGGTCTGTCTGGATATTATCTCTCCCTCGTCTTCTTGGTCTCCCTCGTGGTCTACGACCATTCATCTCTCTGGTGTATACAGGTTTTACTTCTCTGTCATCTGACATTCTTTCAATACGCCCCAAAAATTTCAGTCTATTAGCTCTCATGATGCCAGTGATCAGTGGTGATTTAAACAGATTATGAATTTCATTATTGCTTCTCACTCTCCATTCCCCACTGTTTGCATCTTTGATGGGTCCAAAGATTCATCGTAAGACTCTGTTTTTGAAAACATGTAATAAGGCTTCATCTCTGTTAGTTGTGCTCCAGGTTTCAGAGCCATATAAAATGACTGGTCTTATCGATGTTCTCTATATTTTGATCTTGGTGTTGCGAGACAGACACTTTGACTTTAGGTATGTTACATAATGATGAATAATTTCCCCTTGTGAATTAAAGTGCTCCATTTTTAGAGAGCAAAGAATATGCCCACTGCCATCCCTAACAAGCATGTCATAGGAGGCATCTAATATATGTTTCCTTCAAAGCTGGAGAGCATCTGCCTGAGAGGCAAGGAAACAACAGTCAGCATACAAACAAGCCACATCTGTAAAACAGAAGTGGAGGCTAAACTGAAAGTTCTGGATCAAGACCAAATCACAGAAGTGGATGAACAACCAGAACTTTTTGCCGAAGTTTACTGCCTGTGAATACTAAGAAAAAAAAATGATGAAAGAAAATGATGAATAATGCAACTGTTCAATTATTTCTTTATTCTATTTCCCCAGAGAGTCACATGGCCGACGCTGACTGTCCCCAAATTATCAAGGGAGATAGCCTGGCATCCGGCAAGTCTTGCCACTTTGCATTTAAGAGACTGGATGCCAACATTGCATGGCCCAAGCATATGAAACATTCTCCGCCCAAGTAACCCAGCATTTCACTGATGACCAAAGAATTTGTTGCTATATGATGTGTTTGTGTAGTTATTAGTATTTAGTGTCAGAAAATAAAGATGTGTGTATGTAATAACAAAAGTATCTGGTAAACCGAAGAATAAAAAGCATGTATGTGGGATTCTGAAAAGTAAGGATTGTGTATGTGATAAGCCAAAAAATGATGTGCATGTGTGTGACATACATAAGTATGAGGCATGTGTATGTTGATACTGTATTAAAAGTATATGCTCTCTCTCTCAATCTCTCTCTCTCTCTCTCGTGTGTGTGTGTGTGCGCGTGCGGGTGGGTGGGTGAGTGCGTGGGTGCGAGCGTGCGCGCGTGCATACTTATGTTTGTCATGTGTGTGTACGAGAGAGAGAGAGGGGGGACAGACAGATGAAAGAAAGAGTGGTCATCATCACTTGTGATGGTCGAACAACACAATATTTTTGTTGTTTGTTAAAAAAAATTATTATTTTATGTTTTTAAGGCGTTTGTAAAACTGAAGAAAAAAAAATATGTAATAAAAAGTTACCAAATGATTTCTATTCTATCATGTCCCATTCACACTATGTCCACTCTGCTCTGTTCTATTCACACAATGTCCATTCTACACTGACCCGTTGACAGAATGTCCATTCTACCCTGACCGATTCACATAATCACAATCACATAATCACAATGTCTCTTCTACCCTGACCCACTCACATAATGACAATGTCTCTTCTACTCTCACACAATGTCCATTCTACCCTGACCTATTCACATAGTCACAATGTCTTTTCTACTCTCACACAATGTCGATTCTACCCTGACCCATTCACAATGTCCATTCTACCCTGACCCATTCACATAATCACAATGTCTCTTCTACTGTCACACAATATCCATTCTACACTGACCCGTTGACAGAATGTCCATTCTATACTGACTCATTCACACAATATCCAATCTACCTTGACCCGTTCACATAATCACAATGTCTCTTCTACTCTCACACAATGTCCATTCTATCCTGACTCGTTCACATAATCACAATCTCTTTTCTACTCTCACACAATGTCTTTTCTACTCTCACACAATCTCTTTTCTACTCTCACACAATGTCTTTTTTACTCTCACACAATGTCTTTTCTACTCTCACACAATGTCTTTTCTACTCTCACACAATCTCTTTTCTACTCTCACACAATGTCTTTTTTACTCTCACACAATGTCTATTCTACCCTGACTCATACATAAATTGCATGAGTGATCTTATCATCATCATTATCATCATCATCCCATAACACTACGTGCAGTGGGTCACCAGTTTCTGTTGACTGTCTGATCGGCTCTCTCTTGCCTTTGGCAGACATTTGCAATGGACTTCCTAGTTGCATGCCTGAGGCCTGTCTAGTCAGTCAGGTTCTGTAACCAGGTCTTTCTTGGTCTGCCTCTTCTCCTCTACTGAGCCCTGCACATTCAATCTTAGCTTCTCAAAACCTTCTGATAAACACACAAAATGAACAGCAGTGATGTCTGGTCCAGCTGATTAGCAGCCATAGTTTATTTTGATGCCAAGTGTGGTAAAAAATTGTTATTTTCTATAAGATTTAAAAAAAAAAAATGGGGCCATATTGTATATAGATTCCATTTGAGCTTATATTCCAGTCTGTGAATAATATAAATGGAAAATGTTGAGATATGTTGTCAGTTTAAGGTAAAAATAAAGTAAAGGAGCCTTTTCCACGCTTTCAGGCATATAGGGCTAGACCTATATTTTATAGATCAATCAACACCCACTGAATGATGTGGTCAATATTGCGCCGGCTGCCTTTACTTGCCAGGGCTGTACCCATTTCAGGTCAACCTGTGTCATTGTTTAAAAAGTCCAGCTCCATCAGGACCTGAACCTACGGCCTTCAGATCCGTAGGTCCCCTGTGTGGGTTCCGGGGCCCCATTGTGGGGAAAACAAGAATAGACCCACTGCCTCCCCAAAAGCATGTTGTAAGAGTCAACTAATTGGGGAGCTTCCTTTGAAGACGGAGTGCGTCTGCCGGAGAGGCAAGGAACCAACAGTCTGTATTCAAGAGAATGAGATCTGTAAAACTGATGCACACGCAACACTCAGGTTCTGGAGCAGGACTGCAGTTCAGTAGTAGACGAGCAACCAGAACCTTCCGCCAGAGTTTACAGCTGGTGAACGCGAAGAAGAAGAAGAAGAAGATCCGTAGGTGAGCATCTAGCCATCAGAACATTGCAGCTCCCAGCAGTTTAACAAAACAAAAAGTTAAATGCTGTCGCTACAAACATGAAGTTTGGCTACAGTGTACACCTTGTTGTCTTTGGGAGAATTACGTGTGGGAAGAACCCAATCTCATCCATGGTACAAATTTCATACTACTGTTTAGGAAAAAAAAAAATCACTACCCAATGTGGAAATTGAAGCCTAGTATTTGAACAATCATGAAAATTGTTAAACGCATTCACCAGTCTGTTAACCTCAGAGCCATCCATGGTGCTGATATAGTCTTGCTAACTGTACGTTTCAGGTTCAGGACAAACACTACTGGGGATCATTTACAGCCTTTTACTGCAGAGCTGACATGGAGAATGATGAGTTTAATCCCTTTTGCCCCTACGAATGCTAAAAAATGGGTCCCTTACCCTAGATACTTCTGGGAAAAAATCCTTTTAAAATTTTTTTTTTTTTTTTAACTACATTACATAGGAAACGGTAAAAAAAAAATATTTAGAGGTTATTTATGTACATTTGCAAAAGAAAATTTAAACTTTGAAATATATAAAGGCATATAAAGGTGTAATCTGTATATATGAACAGAGTGGAACATTAAAGTGGAATACAATCGCTGGTGTGTTGAAAAACAACGTGTATTGAGTTATGTTATCACAATCAACATCATTACACAATGGGCTTTCCCATGCATGCTCAGTCCTCCAGTGCAGCAGTCACTCCAATTTACCTCTACTGATTGTTCCCCTGAGACGTTGGTTATGTTTCCTATCTCAGCCTTGAAGACTGCATAGATATTCTTTACCATGCTTTACTGCTAGGTCACACGATCATGTTAGTATAAGATTCATCGTGTCACTCACGCCAGACCCTGTAACCTCCATCACTAAAGCTTACAGAAAAACTGAGATTAGCTTGACTTTAAAAAAGCCACTGGGTCAAAAGGAATTCCCATCCCTACACATTCAGTAACTATATTAATATCCTGGCCGATCAAACATCATGGATGTGCACACTGAACCAATGAACTTTAACTAGGCTTTTTGAGAAGAACAGGTCTCTGCAAACATGGACATATATCGACGTGTATGGAACTGTCATAAATGGAAGTGACTAGATTTAGCCTTCTCAGGCGATAGGATCACAGACAAGTGATCGCTTTCATCCAATATAGCTCAGCATTCACACTGCTAACCTCCGAGTGTTTTAAGTCGTCTGCCTCGTTGACAAAGATCACATTTGTAACATAATTTTTGTATGCAATTTAAACGTATATATACTGTCAGTCTTTCTCCTCACTGTGGTGCTTATGTGATGTTTCAGTGAATCAGAATGTGAAGTATCTTTAATGTGATAAATGTAACATTTGTGGCTGTAAATATAACAACATAACTGTTGCTTTTCTATGTGTGTGTGTGTTTTAAATATGGTGTGATTTTAGAATATGTTTTTATTTTCAACAAAATAATAAAGAATGTGAATTTCAATCATTTCTGTGCATGTTTTTTTTAATATGTAAATTAACAAGTGAATTTTTAATAGATCATAATACCAGGAGTCTCTTCTTGGGATCACTTCTCTGATTTTTACTTTCAGAAGAATTCTTCTCATAAAACTGATAGTTTCCTGGAGTTCCTCTCCTGTATCATAAAACTCTGGTTATGGTGTTGACTCTGTGGGCCGTACAAGGGACAGTCTTGCAGGATATTTTAGTAAAAATAAAGAAAATGACCCCTTTTCATGTGTACTGGGAATATAGGGCTAGACCTATTTTACAGACCAGTCAGCACTCAGTGGTCAGCATGATGCTGGCCACATTTACTTCCTAGGTCTGTTACCTGGAGTCCACTTAAGGCTGGATCGACTTGGGAGCCAAAGTAATTTTTGAAAAAAAGTCCAGCTCCATTCAGATTTGAACCAATGACCTTCAGCTTCAGAGGTGAGTGTCTAGCCACTTCATCATAGCAGCTGCAGGATATCTCTTTTAGCCCCAAACAACACATGATGTGTTACTGACTATTCCCTACATGTCTCAAACATCACATCAAGTGTCTTCGTATATTTCAGTTTTAGTCAGAGTATACTAAATATATCTGTTAGCCAGAGGTATCTTTAATTAATTTTTCATTCTTACAACATAGCAAATGGTTAGAATTTGTGTTGCAATATTTAAATTTAAACAATAATTATGGGTAATTATGGGCCAAAATATATTAGAGGAGTAATAAGTTGCTTTTTCTGAGTGCTCTTTCTAGAAGGCAGAGAGCAACCGTAGTTTATTGTGCAGCTTGAGTTGGTTAAGTAATAGATCATAGTGCACAGTTTCGGGGTGTTTTTGTTGTTGTAATTTTTTTATAAACACTACTATAAGCATGTAGGTTTAAAATTACCAGTTTATACATATGGTACCTTTGATCCTGTCGGTGATAGATTATGGGCTTGGAGTGCTTACCATATCAAAGAGTCATCTGATGAAACGATTGCATACAGAATGAAGCCATGGGGGTAATTCTGGGATGTACAAGAAATGCCCCGGTAGTATGTATGCGATTTGTACTTGCACTGCCTTCTATTGCAGACAGGCTCAAAGTTTTGCAAGCAAAGTCATATCTCAGAGTAGCTGCAGACAAGAAGCACCTCCTGCATGAAGCCCTGGGTAGAGCTAAGGGTCACAGACTGAAAAGAGGAAGGTCTTGGATGATGCAAGCAGAAGACACAATTGGACCTGTGTGCAGGCTTGATAAATCTGGCCGAGG